GCTGCCGAGCTGCCGACCGTGGGCTCCCAGCCCCGTCTAGCGCCTTCGCAAGCCTACCGGGATGGAGTCAGTGTCCCTCGTTGTATGGTCCTCGCAAGCTGCTTTGCTGTTGCTTTTTCCCGTCAATTTGTCTGTGTTTTAGTTGTAATTCCAGTTTGGTTCTGGGAGACGGTCTGTGTAGCTCCGTTCACTCCGCCGCCATTTTTCCTTCTCCGGCCTCGCCAGGTTCTAATACGCTTTCTCTAAGTATTTTAGCCATTTCTCATCTCTCGAATAACGTCAGTTTCACTAATGAGCATCTGTTTCTAATATGTTGATTAACAAGCTTCTGAATTCACTGATGTAAACCCATTTCTGACATTCACTTTACTAATTGCCAAAGCCTCAGGTGTGGCTTTGAATGGCAGATGTCCTTGCGGTGGTTGCCCCTGGAACACGGCCTTTCTAACAGCCTGCTGATCCTCCCTGGAGTAAGAATTTCAAGCAAGGAAACTTACAGGCTCCCAGATCCCAAGCGTGACACACACATGTCATGCTGTCTATGGTAGAGTATTTTAAGTAAAATACTGACATAAACTGGATTTTTCCCCATTTTTCTTTAGATAGAGTGGAAGGGAGGGAAGGAGGGAGGGAGAGAGGGGAAGAGAGAGAGAGAGAGAGAGAGAGAGAGATCGACATGAGAGAGATCGACATGAGAGAGACCGACATGAGAGAGACCGACATGAGAGAGACACATCAATTAGTTGCCTCCTGCACAACCCCGACCAGGGGCAGGGACGAACCCAACACTCTTCAGTCTGAGGGCCGATGCTCCAACAACTGAGCAAAACTGGCCAGGGCATACACTGGTATTTGAATAAAAACAAGCAAGAGGTTAGGAACCTTTAACTGAAACAGGGAACCATAGATAAGTACTAAGCAATGAGGTAGTAGATATTTGTAGGAATCAATTGATGGAAAATAGAAATGATCAATGAGAGCTTCTATTTATAAAATGCATTACATTAGAAAACAAAACTAAAGTCTGAGAGGTAATTAAGAAATCTTTCTTGATTTGTTTATTAGTTTCTCATCACGTTTGCTGAAGTTTCCTCCACTTCACTTTAAACAGTAATGTAAGTTTCATTACGTAAAATTTGAGAAATATAAAAAATGATAATGAAAATAAAAATCACCTTACATCATAGCTCTAAGTTATAGTTAACATGTAACAGAAAATACGATGTTTAATTTTTTCTGATCATAAAAGTAATGCATACAAGGTATTACATTTAGAAAACCAGAAAAGCACAAGAAAAAAACAAATCACCATAATCCTTTCACTGTTAGGGACTAAATTTTATTACACTCTTATCCCAGCAGCTAACACAATGCCATATTAATTAGACTGGGTTGTCTGCTTATGCACTCCATTAACAGAAGTCGTTTGCCCATTCTATGCTTAGAAAGACAGCATATTCTAAAAGCAATATTGTGACCATGGCTTGAAGGAAAGGAAGAAAGCAAACCTATTTATATCAGGAAAAAAAAAACAATTCTAAAACTTACTCCTTGAACACTTAGCTTCTTACTGCATGAAGTGACCTTTCTCAGCAAGATGCCCATTGCCCAAGTTGTGTATTAAATGCCTAAGAGTTCAGTCAGATAACTGCTATATCTTAAACAATCTACATTCTACATCTCTATTTGTATTTCAGTGGAAAGTATCCATGGTATACCAAGTCATTAGAGCTCTAAGATCTTTGCAATTCTTAATGGCAGCCCACCAGGGAAAGCCATTGTAAAGCAAAAATAGTTACAGGATTAGAGAAGAAAAGCCTTGTTTGCAATGTCATTGCTGCTGCGTGCACTGCCTCCTGTGATGTGGTGTGAATGAATTTAGATATAAATCTAGATTTTCAAACTAAGCACCCTCATCAAATAGTGTTTATTGGAGGTTATGGCTGGTTTCCTTAGAAACCAGATGCAGCAGGAAATTTGACTGAGAGTGGAAATTTTAACACAAATACACACATTAACCTTTTATGCAATGCCTTCTTAAACTAACAGCCTTAAATTGTATGCTTAGTGCTTAGATTAGAAGAAATTGATAAAGAGATAAAATTTCAGTTGATTTGATTCCCTAAGTATGATACATTTTTTTCCCCTCAATTTTTCTAAAATCCACATTAGAGGTGTGCAGTGATTGATGTGATTTCCAATTCTCTTTATCTGCCTATATATAAGCCAGGTCAAACCAGAAATTAGCTATAATTGAGGAAATATTTCCCACCTCTTCTCTTAAAGAAAACACACACAAGTAGCTACTATTTTCTATATTTATAACTTATACACGAATGTATCTCTTGAAACTGAAGCAGAAAACTATAAATGTCTGGGTTGAAACGAAGTTCAATCTCAGAAAGTGTGAGATTAGAAATTTTGGACAACAGGCAAACTCAGCTCTCTAGGAAACTTCCCAACATGCAGCAAAGGAGACAGAAATGGACCTGAAAGCAGATTTCTGAGTGTGAAAAGGTGGAGCCAAGAGAAAACTGGGTGGACAGGTTGGAGACAGACCTCTAGAGTCTTTGACAGGTGACCTTGGATCCTCTTTCTGGTGGTGTTGACTGTAAAGAAGATAAACTACCTAACAATTATTTTAGGGCAACATAAAATTCTGCACAAATTCCCCAAAACTTAACCTTCTTTTTGTTTTAGCCATTGAATTTTACTTATACGGTATATGGCAATTATTTCTACCCCATGGTTTACATAGCCAACAATCAGAAAGTATGATACATTTTCAAACCTGTAAGAAAACTCTGATTTGTTACAGATACAAACTGCAAATTCCTCTTACAGCTGCTAAATTCAAACTGGACTTAATTGTCTCCACTGGGATTTTTTTTTAAGTCTGCAAATTGGTAATCTTTCCCTATGGAACAAGACAATATAACAATCAAAACTGAAAGGGGGCAGGCTGGTACCACTGCAGGAAGTTGAAAAGCTTGAAGTTGAAAAGGTGCCGATTTATATTGAAATACGAGGAAATGTTGAGTGAATAAAGAAAAGCAATTATTTTATTTAAAAGTAAGAAATTAAATTAAAACTAAGTTTTGTCTTTGATTTACTAGCAAATTTTTAAAATGCAGATTTCTTGTATTTCCAGTGGTCTTGTAGCTGTACCTTCCATATATTCTATATATTCTACTGAGCTTGAGAGTGAGAAATTTAGATTTTGATTCTACTCCTTCTCTATGTTATATTTATATACATATAATACTTATATATACATATATAGTTATGCAATGTAATATACACTCATGTACTGATCATACATACCATATGCAATCAAAAGGTTAAATTATATAGAAAGAAACAAGTATTACCAAAACAAACAAAAAAATTACACAGAAAATGGCCTACTTATTAAGGCTTAGAGCGTGTAGTATATTTTACAGAATATTTTCAAGTTGGGTTAGAGGTGGAGACATTTTTTTATGACTGTATCACGTCTATTTATATTGGCACTATCTCTCTGGCTAAAGCATAACTTTGAGAGAAAGAGGTCACTTATAATGTATGTCCCTGCCTCTATGTGATATTGTATGTAGTCTTCCTTGGAATACTTTTCCTTTCTCTTCTCAGACAATCTGAATACTGGCACATGGTAAACACTCCAATTATGGCCCAAAAGAAATGTTAGCCATCCTCTGAAGACTGTCTTTTGTCCTACCAACCTCACAAATTGTTTTCTGACTTCCTGCCGTCGACAATGACCTCTCCTTTCCCTGAACCTTTGTAGTATTTAAAATGTTTGCAAATTTGATGCCTTGATGTCTTTCATAATGGTTCTATATTTTCTTTGTACATAAACATCTTGTCTCCCTGACTAGTCTATATGCCTTTTGAAAATAGATATTAGGTCTTGTACTTCCCTGTACTCCCTTTGCACCCAGCCCGGTGCATTGTACATAGAGTATAATAGTTGAGTGTAATCACTTCAGTGGTTACTTAATTATATTGCTCTGCTGTAGCCCGTGGAATTTGGCATTTAGAAAATACTTGTTTACATCCAATTTAATGGGCAGTGGGAATTAAATAATTTTTTAAAATCTTGTTTAATAAAAATTTAACCAAATGGTTTGTTCTGCTTTTTATTTATTTTCTTTATTGATTTTAGAGACAGAGGAAGGGAGAGGGAGCGAGAGATAGAAACATCAATGAGGAAGAACATCGATTGGTGGCCTCCTGCATGCCCCCCATTGGGGATGGGGCCCACAAGCTGGGCATGTGCCCTGACCGGGAATCGAACTGGCGACCTCTTGGTGCATGGGTCAACACTCAGCCACTGAGCCACACCAGCAGGGCTGTCCTGCCTTTTAAAGAGACAATATTTGTCCTGGCCGGTATGGCTCAGCAGTTAGAGCATCGGCCCACAGACTGGAGAGTCCCGGGTTCGGCTCCCGCAAAGGGCACGTACCTCAGTTGCAGTTCACCCTGGCCTGGGTTGGGGTCATGTGGGTGGCGACCAGTTAATGTTTCTCTCTCTCTTTCTCCCTCTCTCCCTCCTGTTCTATCTGAAAATAAATGCAAAAATGTCTTCGCGTGAGGATAAAAAAATTAAAAATAAAGACAATATTTGACAGATACTTTAAAGAAATGCTATTGCCACATTTAACTGTATCTGACACCATTGTCCAATACTGAAGCTCTGCAGCAAAAGTTCTAGAATAATCACTTACTTTTTTCCTCTTAAGTTCGAAGCAGAATAGTTTTTTGCCTTTCATGTAAAGAAATAACTTAAAATTTAGTTTTAAAATCTATGGTACTTTTCTAAGTCTACCCCATACATAGGGTTTGGTGTCATTTCCGAAGACTCCTTTATACAACTGTGCTTTTCAGTGAGTGATAGTTCTTCTGAATAAACTTACATGTCCTAAGCATTTGATATGTGAATGCTAAATATTTTTGCCAAAGGCTTTGCTCAATTTTTTTAACACTTGCTTTTTACTTAGCGGCGAGCGTTGGCTGTGGATAGGTTTGAATAAAAGGAGCCCCGATTTACAAGGATCGTGGCAATGGAGTGATCGAACACCAGTAAGTTTAAACTTTTTGGGGTAATATTATTTGTTTCAATAACAAGTAAGTTGATTATTAAATAATACATTCACATACCATACAACCATTATATTAATTTTGTAGATGTGTCTTTATTGAAATGAGAATATATTCACAAATATGACATATGGATAAAACAAGTTACTAACTTAAAAAAATAAACATGTTTAAGCTTTCTCTATATAATAAAAATATATACAGATATATATAGATATATATATATAGCTACGTAGATGTAATAGTCATCACTTTGGTTAATAAACCTGATTTTCTTTTTTTCTTTGTGTTTTTTCTTTTTTTCTCTTTTTATAATGGGAAGCCTTGATGTTTATTTCTAAGAGTTATGTAAAAAAGAAAGCACCTTTATGGGGGAAATAATTTTAGGGGAGGAACCCTAAAAAGTCCTTAAGTATTATATCAAATGTATACATTATCCTAGTGAGACATTTAGGTAACACTTATAGGAGCAAATAATTCTCAAATATTAAATATTCACTCCACATTACCATTGTGTCCATTCATTATATATTCTTTTTAAATGTAAAATTCCTTGGCTTTCATTTTCAAATTGGAGCATATCTGAGAATAGTTCATCAAATAACTAGCATTTCAACATATGCAAAAAAAAAGTAGGTATTTTGCCAGCTCTTGATTCTGTGACTCCAACTGTGAACTGAATACATCATTAAGCTCCAATTCTAAAACTATCCTCCTTTGTTTGGAAACTGATGACATTATGACATTTTCCAAGTCCTCTCGTGATTTAGCATCCTCACACAAAAAAGGAAATGGAAACGTTTTCCTTCCACAGTATAGGAACACACTTGAGTTATTAAAGCTGCCTAAATTACATCTAAATTGCAAATATATATACATCAGTCTTAAACTCTCAACCCTCTCTTGTCTTTTAAGGTGTCTACCTTTCTGATGGAAAATGAGTTCCAGCAGGATTACGATGTCAGAGACTGTGCGGCTATCAAGGTCAGTGCAGTGCTAGAAAATCCGCATGTTTTAAAAATAAACCCGGCGTCGGTGGCAGTCAGGTGCAGATTCAGGGAGTGCCTTCTGCATGTGGCGCGTGGGATTAGGTGTGACGGGCGGTGAGAAGTTACCCAAGGCCCAGCCTTTGAGAGACCCAACTTATTCTTAATTTGAGAAGGTAAAATTCATATTCTGGAAAGATAGCTCTGCCCTGGTTGGTTTGGCTCAATGGTTGGAGTGTTGGCCCACAGACTGAAGGCTCACAGGTTCAATTCCCGGTCAAGGACATGTACCTTAGTTGCAGGTTCGATCCCCAGCCTGGTTGGGGTTGTGTGGGAGGCAACCAATCGATGTCTCTCTCTCACATCAATGTCTGTCTGTCTCTCTCTCTCTCTCTCTCTCTTTTCTTCCCTTTCACTCTATCTAAAAATAAATGGAAATATATCCTCGGGTGAGGATTTAAAAAAAAAAAGAAAGCTCTTATTGCTATGCAGTAATAACCTCCAAATGAGTTAAAGAGACTGATGAAATTCAGAAAGAAGGAACAATTCCTGTGACCTATTTCCAGAAAGAGGTGGGACTTGAATAGGGCCATTAAGGAGGGCTAGGGTTGGTCGGTAGGTAGGTAAAGCTCTCTAATGGGAAAAGGGTATGAGGAAGTGCATAGAATAAAGTGGGAGTGAAAGGGAGAGGCTAAGGCAGTGATAAGAACAGAATTCAGCGCCAGAAGTCTTAACTGGTGTTGTTCCCAACTTAACCAAGTTGGGAAATAGGATTACGGCCTGGTTGAGGAGTTTGCACATTTTTTGATAGGTAACAGTATTTTTCAAGGTTTTTGATATGAACTAAAGAGGTTGTGAGAAGATTCATCTTGAGACAGATGTCAGGATACAACAGATAGCACCAAAAGATTAAAAAATCAGTCAGGCATCTTTCTCTGCAGAATGGATTCATTTATTCATTCCATAAGTAATGTATCCAAGAAGTCTGCAATGCTCTGGGGATACAGTTATGACAAGGTATGAAACAGCCATTGTCTCCACAAAACTAATAGCCTAGTTTGAGATAAATACAAGTAAATAAGCAATTACAAGAATTATAGCAGGCAAAGTATAAGGTTTATCGGAGAATAAAGATGGTGATGATGATGCAGCTGTTAACACCTGTTGGCTCCTGAGCCAGACACGGTATTAGGCATGTCACATATATTATTCACTTAATACTTAAGCAACCTTGTGAGGTAGGTACTGTTATTTTATTCATCTTAAAAGGAAGAACTTTGAACTCGGAGTAACTTATGTGGTTACAGAACTAAAATTTAAACCCACATGTCCACTATGCTATGTCCCCTGTTGTTGGGGGCAGCAGGAACGGTACCAGGAGTCAGCCTGGTGGGGTCAGACTAGACCTGGGTTCTGCAACCTCAGCACTTGAATTCTGGCTAGGAAAGAATTCAAAGTCAAAACTCAAACTATAAGAGACGGTTTATTTATAAAATCACAGAGGTGGAAGAAGTAATTTGTAGAAGAAACGGGATTAGGACACAAGTTATAGAGGTAAAGGAAGCCCTTGGAGCTCAGAAGCGAGGACGTAAGGGAAAGTGCCTGGGGGAGCGGCAGGGGAAGGGGGGGAGGCTGGGGAGGATTGCTCCCAGGAGGGAGAGCGCTGGGTCCTCTGTCCTAAGGGTTTGTTTTTTGTTTTTATCCTCACCCGAGAATATTTTTCCATTGATTTTCAGATAGAGTGGGAGGGAGGAAAGAGAGAGAGAGAAACATCCATGTGTGAGAGTCACATCTACTGGTTGCCTCCTGCACAACCCCAACCAGGGCCGGGGATCGAACCACAACCAAGATACATGCCCTTGACCAGAATCAAACCCGTGACTCTTTGGTCCTCGGGCCAACACTACCACTGAGCCGAACCGGCCAGGGCTGTCCTAAGGGTTTTAAGGGTGGCGATTTTAGGGGAGGTCCCAGGGGAAGATCTCAATAGACTAGTCAGCAGCTTTCCAGGTGTGTCCTTTCAAGGTCAGGGTCTCCACTGATTGATTGGTTGGCACCAGGGCAGGGGAATCATTATCCAATACAGCTGGTCCTGAGGTCAGCCGTGGGGTCACGTGTCTGGTTCTGCTGCTTTTCTGGACCTGGAGCTGAAATACAACTGAGACCTACATGTCATCTCTAGGGAGGAAAGGTCAGGGGTCCAAACCACATGACCATCAACATGCTAGAGGAGGAAAGGTCACCCTGGGGGCGAGGCCCCACCCGACACCCGGGGCTTTCCACCCTGGTGACCTTCTGTACCTGGCCCATCGTCCTTGCTCTGCTCATGGGTGTCTAACAGCCTAACACACTATGACTAGGCATTTATAGAAACACTCAAAAGGGGTACTGATTTATGAAGAAAATAATGCATTTTAGTTTAGATATTTCAAATCCAAGTTAACAGTAAAAAATATCCTATAGTAAGTAGAACTCAAGAGACTGGAATTGGAGGGAAAATGTATACAAAAATAAAAGCTCAAAGGGCCAAGAAGTCGATTTGGGGGAATCGCCAACACATTAAACGTAAGAAGATGAGGGGAAAAGAGATATCTAGATAATACCTCTGCTACGTAAGCCCAAGAAAGAGATTCAAGAAGGCAACTGACAAGAAATGTTACAGGAAGGGTGAGACGAGGAACCGAGAAGGCCATTGGAAAGCACTACTTTCAAAGTAGTTGTTCTAGTACTAAACTGTATAGTATCATGCCATTTTTATAGAAGTCTCTATTTAATACATGAAAGGTGAAAACCTCAGAGAAGCTTGTGAAGTTCCACTGATGCAACTATGTTCTGTGTAGGTGGAATCCCCATGTGTGAGAAAAGCTAAACACTGATGCTGTTTGCTTCAGGAATAAAGCCATGCAGGCAGTGTTCTAGAAGGAGAATCTTACCTCACCTGCCACTGTACCCATCAGAATCTTGGCCTTAAGAGAACAGTCCAAAAAGTGATGGATGCTCCTCCCAGGCCATGCCCTCCCCTTTCCTTTCTCCCCTGCTTGCTGGCTGGAATTTGTAGAGTGCCACCTTGAACTGTGCGGAGAAGGACAACATCCTAGGAACTCGGAGCAACACCAAAGAAGGAGCCTGGGCCCCTGGTGTCAGACTTTTACATCACTTTTCACAGATCTGCTTTAATACAGCCTGGTTGGAACCCACTGAACCAAATATTCTTTTCTAGCTTGATCGATCCCAAATGTAATGGTCCAAGATTCTACAGTTTCATATCAGCAAAAACAGAAAATAATAATAATTTGCAGTTTGGACATAAACATGATCGTATGATACCTTTGTCAGCCTCTTGCTTAGGCTGTTACAGTTTAAACACTGCATGTGTTCATTCATTAAACAAATACCTTAGGTGCTAGAGCTAAAATAGTTAAAAACAGTTTAGGATTTTCTAAAGGTTGCGTCAACTTCAAAATAAGCTGCAACCCTCTTCCTCTTTCAGGTCATGCAGAGGTACTGGCGAAGAAGCTGGCATTACCATTATGACAGAGAAAATATTTATTTAAAGCCTTTTGCTTGTGATACAAAACTTGAATGGGTGTGTCAGATTCCAAAAGGTGAGTGATATTTATTTCCTTTCATGTGAATATTATGAATCCAGAGCCAAATGTAACTAAGAGAGCATTTTGGTCTATGATTATGATTTTAAAAAGCCTTTCAAGCCCTGGCCAGTGTGGCTTAGTTGGTTGGGCATCATCCCATGAACTAGAAGGATGCTGGTTCAGTTCCCAGTCAGGGGATGTGCAGGAGGCAACCAATTCATGTTTCACTCTCACATCGATGTTTCTCTCTCCCTCTCCCTTCCTTTCTCTGTAAAAATTAATAAAGTCTTGTTTTTGTTTTTTTTTTAATGTTGAGAGAGGGAATAAACTGTCTTTAAAAAAAAAAAAAACCTTCAAAGATGCAGTTAATACAATAAGTTCCACCCACCTGACTACTACCCCTTGTAGAAGGCTAGATTATTAACAATCAATGGTGTCTTCCTCTTTTATCATGAAAGAATTTGTATACAAGATAAAATTTAAGGCTAATTTAGGGTGATTAGACCTGGAAATGAAAGATAATTTTAAGTAAAAGAAGCAACGTGGCAGAGGGAATCATTTTTATTTTGATGCAAAATGAAGATAAGCATAAGAAAAATGAAGTAAGAACCAGGAAATCAAATTTCAGCACTTCCCTGGAAAATTTAGAAACAATTTTCAGTGAACTCAAAAACTGCTAATACTTGATGTAATTCAAATTCAAGAAACAGCTTGATTAGTAGAGTGTTTGGTGACAAAAGGGAGAGAAAGGAAAATAAATAGCTATCCTTTTACTTAGCTTTTTACTAGGAAAATGTCAAGGACTTTTAAGTAAAATCTTAAGATTTTAAATCCCAAGTTATTTTAAGCAAATACTAAATATATGAAATTGTTCGTGGTAAATGTACAGAAAGTTCCAAAATGAATTTCTGAATGAATGTAAACAGATTATTGAAACCAAAGGTATATCCTTCTATAAGTTCTCAAAGAATCCAAAGATTGTCATGGGACTGTCTATAAGAAAATTGTTCTTTTTCCTTTAACAAAGGCCACCATGCTGCACATATTGCCTTTAAAAGAGCTCAGACATGACTTTTGATACAGTAACGGTCAAGTCCCTCTCACAAAGGCAAACTGTCAGTCCATTAATAAAAGAAAAACTGTGTGTGTGGGGGGGGGGTGTCCAAAGGAGACATTATACCTGAGTTTTTCGTGATTATTGATTAAACCTGAAAGATGAACAAAGAAAAACCAGTTTGGATACTCTTTAAAGAAGCAGAAGAGTAAGTAATGTGTATAATTAATTTGGATAATGTCTCTTGTTTGAAGCATTGGTGGTGAGCTCTGGTAGCTTGCTAGCATGCCACAGAGTATCACTGCTCCCTCCAACATGTGCCCTCGCTGGTAGCTGCAACCCTGCCTCCTGTTTGAGTGATGGCTCAAACCCAAGAGTTTACACCGGGGCAACCTTAGAAATGACAAACCAGTAGCCACAGGAAAAAATTACAAAGAGCACATTTTTTTGTTGTTTTTTTTTCTTGTTTTTATCCTTTATTATATATATTTTTTATTTTAAACAAAAGAGAAGAAAATTAACTTAGCAAACATACATCAATTAACCAAATAAAAAGTCTTCACCCCTGCTCTCCCATGCAAAAACAAAATTAAAAACTAAAGAACTTCCTATCTCAGCCCTTTCCCAATTATCTGAAGCAATCAGTGATTGCTTGATCCAAGGTTTAAATGTAACTCCCCTTGGACAGTTTCTAAATTTCTACGTTACAGTGTGTCCCATTCACCTGGTTGGATATTTTGTTGGTTATTAGAGCAACCAAAGTTTGCTCAACCTGATACTTCTGTATTAATCTGTATTTTCTGGTTTTCTCAAAGCAGTTCACCTCTTTAGAAGCCTAAATCACCATACCTTTTCTCTAGCTCTTGCCGTTTTTATAACACTTGGCCGGTTCTAATTAGCCTCCTCTTCTCTAAAAGACATATTTGACAACCTAAAATTTTTTCTCATTTATATTGAATTCATTGGGGTGACATTGGTTAATAAAATTATATAGGCTTCAGGGGTACAATTCTATAATATATCATCTGTATATTGTATTGTGTTCACCACCCCAAGTCATGTCTCCTCCTATGACCACTTACCCCCCCCCCCATACCTCCTCCCCACCACCCTTTCTCCCTTTCCCTCCAGTAATCACCACACTGTTGTCTGTGGACAACCTAAAAATGTTAAATAGCCATAACCAGATGTACTTTTTAAAAATCTTCACCCAAGGATATGTTTTTATTGATTTGAGAGAGAGAGGAAGGAAGAGGGAGAGAGAGAAATGACGATCAGTTGCTTCCTGTATGTCCTTTTCTCACTAACTTAAAGAAATTTAAAGTTTAGACATAGAATCCCCAACACGTGATTAAATCAAGAAACTATGTATATTTTAAACTGGTTGGTAGCATTGTTGTTAAAAAAAAAAAAAAAAGGAAGAAATTATCCAACACCCAAAGAACTGACTCTGGGAGAGAAAGCAAAGATGCTGGATATATAGGCAGTCTTTTGTATTAGGCCCTGATACAACAACAAAATTGGGAACAGTTATTTTATCCTGTAATTTCTAAGATTCATAAAATTATGTTTTTGACTGGAAACTAATGTGACCTATGAACAGAATGAAAAGGGAGAAGAAAGAAACCTAGCATCCTGGGAGAAACTGCTCTTGCCTGGAACTGGGGGCATTTCCACAGGGGGGATCTCACCGAATCTTCACACAGACTTGGTGATTTAGGTGGTAGAGTCTCACTTCCTACAGACTAGAGCGCGAGGCTCACGGAGTTGAACAGCTGATCAGTACCAAAGCGCCAAGGGTCTGAGGGCTTTGGAATTGGCCCATCCAACTTTAATATTTCCTGTTTCCATCCAGGAGGCCTGGGTGATTTTTAATTATGTTTCTCCCAGTTTTGTCTTTCACCTTCTCAAAAGGTTCAGTACTGGGTCATTGTACATTGATTGTTTCCAAGGATATCCTGGGAGACAATAAACTCTACCCACCCAGGTTCACAGAAAATTACTCAAATTGCATTAGACGAAGAAGTGGTTCCTGAATAACCTCACCCGACAGTGGTGATCATCTCGGTTCATACTCCTTAGTGCTTCTGTCTAATACTCCTGAATGCACCTGTGTTTATCCATCTGGCCTTCCTTTGTGACTTCCGTGGTATAAGGTAGAGAACTGCTAGCAATACTTTATTAATATTTCTTTTTTCTTTATTGATTTGAGAGAGATAGAAACATTGATGAGAGAGAACATGGATTGGCCGCCTTCTGCATGCCCCTCACTGAGGATTTGGCCCACAACTTGGGCATGTGCCCTGACCAGGAATCGAATTGGTGACCTCTTGGTGCATGGGTCGACACTCACCACTGAGCCACACCGGCCAGGCTACTTTAATAATATTTAATAGATCTGCTTTTTTATTGCCACTAAAATAGCTTTAGCATGGGCCCCAGAATTCAAAATTTAAGTGATCATATCATGGAACGAAATGGTTCAGCCAGAAATGGACAAACCTCAGCAATACTGCAAGTCCTCTTGAAGTAGATGAAAGGCCCTTACAGTACGTGATGATCTCTAATTGAACACTAAACTTAAACCACTTGCTTTCTTCCTTATACAGGGCGTACTCCAAAAACACCGGACTGGTACAACCCAGGTGAGTTAAAGAAAACTGAAACTTAGCCAAAGCCGCCTTTACTTTTTCAATAATGCATTTAGTTTATTTAAACCCAGGCCTAAGTGCCAGCATCTTCACCTGAGATGGAATATGTGTATGCAGGGAAGCTGATTGCCTTTCCCTGTGACTCTGGGTGGCAGAGTCACTCAGCTCAGGAGTCCTTGTTCCTTTCAGGAAGCACTGCCCTGGCCAGAGAGAGCCAGTAATCTAAATGGATCACAGTTTATTAAAGTTTTGAGCATCAGTCTATACTTAGAGGGTGCAGTTTGGTTTACACAGTCGTAACTGATATTCTTCCTCTTCAGAACGAGCTGGAATTCATGGACCTCCAGTTGTAGTAGATGGGAGTGAATATTGGTTTGTTGCTGATCCTTACCTCAACTATGAAGAAGCAGTCCTGTACTGTGCTAGCAATCACAGCTCCCTGGCGACTTTGACATCTTTTGCAGGATTGAAAGCCATCAAAAACAAAATAGCAAATGTAATTCAAAAGGATGTGTTTTTAAGTATATCTTTCATTTTTATATTTATCTCATGAAAACATTTTCAAAATCTTACCAAAATCTACAGAAGTTAAATGTGCCTCTCAAGTAAAATTTGCCTAATATTCAAATTCATCATTTCTTGTTAGGAATGTTAAGTATAATTGTTTGATATTTTAAAATATTCAAGATTAATTATAAACATCAGTTTATAAAATGAACATCAATCGATAATGTATTCTAATTCCATATCACTTTTTTTACTAAAAGTTAACTTTCCAGTTAACTTGAGTTTCTGTTTCTACTAATAATTAACTTTACAAAATAGCTTTTTGAACCCTGGCAAATTTGGCTCAGCAGTTGAGCGTTGGCCTGCAGACCAGAGAGTCCTGGGTTCAGTTCCCACTAGGGGCATGTACCCCCCCCCCCCATACACACACACACACACACAAAATGAATTACAAAATAGCTTTTTGGAGGAAAACTAATTTGTACATCTTTAAATTTATAATTAGTTGCAATAAGATACAATATGTCCAATTAATGTATGCCCATAGTTACAGCAACCGTATTTTCTGTATGCAGTTTTCAAAAGACTCAGTTGGTGAAAGGATCTGATTTGTGTAATTTAGATAGCGAAGTAATGGAATATTTTGAAATCTTCGTTTTTTGTGTTTATGGTGGAATAGGGTTAAATCAAAACTCTCCCAGAAAACTTAGCACATGTAAGGATGGGTGTTTGATTTGTTTTTCAGATATCTGGTGATGAACAGAAGTGGTGGGTGAGAACTCCTAAGCAGCCAATAATAGATCGTCATTATATGTAGTATGTAATCATTGATGCTACCTTTATAAAGTTATTTAAAAGAAGCAGTTCCAAATGTTCTTTTACCAAATGGATTACTTTTCATAATTAATTTTGAACATTAATCCATAAACTGTATAGACTAGAGAAACCAAGTCCTTTTGCATATTACCATCAAATATAAGTATAAAAAAATGGTTTAACATTAATTTTAGAATTAAAATTATTTATAGTAAACATGGGAATGGAATATGTAACTACATTCTGAGTTGTCAAATCTCTCATTTTCTTCCAGCACACGACATTCGTGGCATCATTTTCCAGTAACATTTGGAGAGCAGTGTTTATACTTATCTGCCAAGACTTGGCTTCATGGTAAAACTAATTCCAAGCCCTCTAATTACAAATTATGTAATATGTGAAATTTGGGTTCAGTTGCTAGTCTAGTTTTGTGTCCCTTTGATTATGTGTTTGATAACTTTATCTTATTCTGATTTATTGCTAATGACAATAGTTCAAATTCCAAATGCAAATAAATGTGCTTTTTATTGTGAATATTTTTATTTCCTTTACTTAGAAATAAACTTACCACTTTCATACATAATAAGCCTATAGACCAATTTGCAAAGATAAATAGGCAGCAGCTCTAAAATATAGTTTATGTCTTTTTCCTCTTCATCAGCCTTCTTCAACTCTATTTTCTGCCATCCGGAACTTGGTAACTCTGTTCTTTACATCACATGTGCACATTTTTATAGGCAATATTCGTATACTACAACCTAGTGATATGAATAGTCCTAGAAGACATTAATGGCTAGAGAAGAAAACAAATATATTTTAACCATTTGGAAATTAATTTAAAGAGACTTTCTTTATTACTGGATTTTTTTGAAAGTGTACTGAATGGCCCTGGCCCATTTGGTTCAGTGGTTAGAGCATTGGCCTGCGGACCAGAGGGTCCTGGGTTTGATTCTAGGCAAGGGCACATACCTTGGTTGCGGTTCATCCCTGGTCCCTGTTGTGGTCGAGCAGGTGGCAGCCAATCAATGTGTCTCTCTCACATCAATGTTTCTCTTCTATCCCCCTCTCTCCCTCCCTCCCTTTCTCCTTCCCACTCTGTCTGAAGATCCAATGTAAAAATATCCTCGGGTGAGGATTAAATAAATAAATACATAAATAAAATAAAGTGTACTGAATAGAAAAATCTCACCACAGTAACCCTGCTTTTCATTTCTCAGACTTACATAAACCAGCAGACTGTAATACCAAGTTGCCATTCATCTGTGAAAAATATAATGTATCTTCATTGGAGAAATATAGTCCAGATTCTGCAGCTAAAATTCAATGCTCTGGGAGCTGGATTACTTTTCAGAATAAGGTAAAAAGAGAATCACTACATTGTGCAAACCATGATTGCTTTCATGATGGTTGTATGGCGTGTGACACAATGGCAACCCATCAGATAACTTCACTAAGACAGCCTCTGCATATTTTAGTATCTTACCTGATCCTACATTGTCAGAAACCAAGTTAACTCTCAAGTTAGCCATGCCTACAGGTCTTTCAAAATAGTGTGTTCCTATTCTGTTGCTGCAAACACTTAAATTGCAGAAGCTGATGTGTCAACAGAGAGTAATACGTTGAAGTCAAGACTATCTCTCTGGCATATAGAAAACAATTTCTGGCTGATAAATTTTCCCCCTTAAGGAAAACATCCAACCAGCAACTACCAATCAAATTAGAGCAGCATTTCCCAAACTGCTTTTTGGGAACTACACATATGCTAACCAAATGTTAATCACTGATCTTGCCTCCAGAGTGGAGTTTATGATTAAATAGATTTGGGAAATGCTGCATTTTCCATACTTGCTTCTTTGAGATGCATAATCCATATTGTATAAGTATCTCTTAGGGAATGTATTTGGCTGCTAAAAAAGGAGCTTGGTACAGTATGTTAAAACATTTATTTATTACATAAAAGAAGTTTGAAGTAAGCAGACTGGGGTTGGTATATAAACTCTGTGAATTCTTCAAAACCAGGCTCCTTTTGTCTCTCTCCTCTGCCATCCTTACCATAAAGCTTCTGAGCTCAAGCTCAGAGTGTTTTCTCTACAGTCTTCTAGAAGCTACTCAGTGACTTATACCTCCTCAGCCACTTAATTCTGGATAGAAACCAAAATGACAACATTTTGTAGACCGTTTCAAGGAACACAATTTGAAGCATACTACTCCACACTAACATGGTCATGGCATCAAAAAGAAAACAGAAGAGATGTGTCTGGCAGCTGAAAACACCTGTAGTCAGGCTAAAATATTAAGAGTATATTTTGATTTTGTTTTAAAATTAGAACAGTCTTTTCCTCCAGTGTACTGGGACTAAAATTATACAGTTGATGTAAATTGAATTAAGTATTCTGCCAAGGGACAGGGGGATGGTTTCTTTTGAAAATGTGAGGTGTTTTTTTTTAAATATAAGGAGTTAATGATTAAGAATACAGACTTTGAAATCAAATGTAACAGAGTCTAAATGCTGACCATACCATTTTATGCTATTTCACTTACAGGTAAAGTTATTTAACTTACCAGTGCCTAAGTTTTTCCAGTTGTGAGAATTAAATCAGACAATACTATGCAAACTGTTTAACACAGTGGAACCACGTAGTAAGTGGGAGATATTTTTTAAAAAAATAGTTTGAGGACTGCTCTTTAGTTGTTTTAATTGAGAGTGTAGATCTGCATTGTTATGGTACTACGTTATAAATTTAAATATCTCACAGACCAATAATGAGCAACCCTCTGAAAAAATGGTACACTTATTTCCTATGTGAGCTTTCCTGTATCTGGAATCTTAAGCTTCATATATGTTCTTTGTTTGCAGTGTTTTCTAAAGATTAAACCCAAGTCTCTCTCATTTTCTGGAGCAAGCGACACTTGTCACACCTACGGTGGCACCCTTCCTACAGTGTTGAGCCAAAGAGAACAAGGTAGCAGAATTGTTTTGGAAACATGTTTTATTCTGATCTGGGGGCCACGTTAATTTTGGGAGGCTGAGGGGAATCAACATCTTTTAAGTCTTATTAAACTATTTTTTTACAGAGTAGGTGAAAGACTATTTCGTAAATAAGCAAGAGGATTCGTTGACATTTTTAGTATATCTTGAATTTGAAAAATTCAAATGCTTTTTAAAATAAATCTCTTTGAGAAGTACAAATTGGTTGTTAGACTGATGAACCTCAAAGGGAATTGGGGGAGGGAGGGTGGGATGAGATAAACCAAAGAACTTCTATGCATATATGCATAAGCAATGGACACCGACAACAGTGTGGGGAAGGCAGGAGAGGGGCGGGATTGGGGAGGAGGGAGTCATTGGGGCGGAAAAGGGAGGGACATCTGTAATACAGTCAACAATAAAGATGAAAAAATAAGTAAATAAGTAAATAAATAATGGTGGGGGTCTCTTTCTGACAGATTTTATTACATCCTTGCTTCCGGATATGGAAGATGACTTATGGATTGGTTTGCGCTGGACAGCCCATGAAAGGATAAATAAATGGATAGATAACAGAGAGTTGACATACAGTAACTTTCACCCATTCTTGGTTGGTCGAAGGCTGAGAATACCAAAAGATGTAAGTTTTTTGGCATTAATGATCTATGTAGCTCTATGAAATTCTTGAGTCTTCCATAAATTATTGGTGCCAGAGGCTGAAGAGGATGGAAGGATTGGGGATGGTGGTAGAAGGGTATGGGGTTTCTTTTGAGGAAGGTGAAATGTAAAATTGATCTAAGAATATGGTCACACAAATCTGTACATATACTAAAACCTATGGAATTTATGCTTTAAATGGGTGAATTATATTGTATGTGAATTGTATCTCAATAAGGCTGTCACAAGAACAATAACAACAGAAATTTCCCCACTCTAGGAACTCACAATGAATATTTCAGCATTATTTTCTTCTAGGGTTTTTCCATACAGTGTCTTCTTGAGATAGATACGGTCATAGTTGGTCATAGTACATATATATATGTGTGTTGTGTGTGTGTATATATATATATATATATTTATATATATATATATAATTTATATATATAATTGATTTCTACTTTTCTCACATAGTATTATATCATAAGTAGTTTCTTATGCTGTTAAAAGATGTACTTGACAGTCCTGACTGGTTTGGCTCAGCAGTTAGAGCGTCGGGCCGTGGACTGGAAAGACTGGGGTTCGGTTCCCGCTAAGGGCATATACCTTGGTTGCAGTCTGTCCCCAACCCATGCTGGGGTCGTGTGGGTGACAAACAGTTGTGTCTCTCTCATGTCAACGATGTTTCTCTCTCTCTCTCTCTTCCCCCTCCTCTCCCACTCTGTCTGAAGATAAATGCAAAAAAAAAAAAAGTGTCCTTGGGTGAAGATAAAAAAAAAAAAATGTACTTGACAGGCATTTAGTGGATTTAGTGGGTATTTAGATTTTTCTCGGTTGTGCATAATCTGAAATGGTGTTGCAATAAACACCTTTGTGCATGAACTTTGCTTATGTTTCAGGTTATCTCCTTAAGATAGATTTTGGAAGTTATATAGTCAGATCAAAAGAAATAGTTATAAAGTTCGGGTTACCAAATTCTTTTCCAAAAAGATTTATGAGTTTATATTTTTGTCAGCAAAATATTATGATGGCCCTTTTTCCCATACCTGCATATTAATAATTTCTAACATTTGTTGAGCAGCTCATATGTATCAGGCACTCTGCTAATGCATCACATGCATTATTTCATTATATCAGCACAATGGATGTGCAAAGGTCTGTTAGTCCTTTCCTGTCTTAGAAATGCAGGGACACACATTCATGTAATTGACCAGTGATCACACAGCCTGTACGTGTGGAATTAGCGTTTTAATCCAGGTCCAGGAGCCTGCAGAGCCAGCATTCCTAACATCTCTACTACATTGCCTCAAAGGAGCATTATCTTCTAAACATTCTTGTTAATTTGGTAGTTTAAATTATATCATATTTTCATTTATAGTTCTCTGATTTTTAATGAAAACAAGCCTGTGTAAATTCAATAATAATTTGAATTTCATCAAGTGTGAATGTTCTTATTTTTTGCCAATTTACCTATCAAAACTTTCATGTATTTCTCACAGATTTTATGACTATGTAAATATTAAATATGCTGTCCCTGTTTTTCTTGCGTTTATTGCAAATATTTCCCTAGGTTTTTTTAGTGAGGTCTGAATACCAAAAATATTACAGAAATGAGTTTGAGTTTGTGTGTGTGTGTGTTCAGATCTGTTTATTTCCCTTTTCCTCCATTATTTTTAGGTCTAAAAGTCTATCTTATTAATGATGGTTAAATGTTTGCCTGTATTTTTGTTTTGTTTTGTTTTATAGATTGCCTTTTTTTCCCTCACAGCATGACACATTGATATATGGTCTATGTTGTCATGACTAATCCTTTTTCTTAATTCTAGCTAATTATCTAGCATTGTTTATTGCATTTATTTTCATGTGTTAAAAGCAATATAGGATGCCTCCTTTATCATATATGAAGTGTGTATATATAAGATATACTCTTATATAGCTACCACACTGATCTAAATACTGTAATTTTACCATATTTTTAAAAATCTAATAGAGCTAGTTATATTTTATTAAATGCCATTAAGATATTTTTAGCTATTCTTGTCCATTCTTCCAGACAAACTAGAAGTATTTAGTCAATTTCCAATCAAAACAATTAAATAAAAAATTCTGATGAAGATCTGATAGCATTTTAGGGAAAATTCACATCTTTTCAGTACTCTTGTAATTCAAGAATATGGTATAATATATCTCTCCATTTATTCCTGTCTTCCTTTAGCTCTCAGTGACGTTTTTATAGCACTTCTCTTTCTTACTGTCATTGATATGGCAGCTTTTTTATTGATTTTTGTACTGATATGAAGGAAAGCTATTGTTTCAGGATTTTTATATATTTATTTCATAGGCATCCATCTTATTAAAATCCCTTATTACTTCTTAGAGTATTTTCACAGTTTTTTTTTTTTATGTTTCCTAAAGAGATAATTATAATTTTCAAATAACAGTTTATGCTTCACTACACATGGTAGAACTACGGTAAATACCAGGAGTACTAAACACCATCCCAGACTTGATTTGCACTTTGATGGGCCTGTCTGCAGGGTTCTGTTGTTACACTACGTATATGGTGTTGCCATATACATGTATCATTTAAGATGTATCATTGTATAGCTATCTTATTTAGAATTTTTATTCAGAAATAAGTACTGCATTTTCTAAAACTTGTTTCCAGCATCTATTGAAATTGTCATATGGGTTTTCCCATTCAGCCTATTGGCATGTGGTATAATACATTAATAGATGTTATATTAAACCATCTTTATCTTCTAATAAAATCTAGTTGCTCAGAGTGGATTATATTTTACTATTCTACTGAATTAGATTTGTTAGAATTTTATTTGGGAATGTTTTCACCTCTGTTCATAGAGTTAAAATTTTTATGCCATATTGTCAGATTTTTTTTTTCCTCATCACATGAGCTTCATAAGATGAACTTGGTAGTTTTCTGCCTTTGTGTTTTGAAATTAGACCTCAGTCTGGGAAATTATCTTTGAAGAACTACTGGCAAAATCATGTGATTTTATTATTTTTATTTTTATTTTTTTCTTTATTGATTTTAGAGAGGGAGAAAGGGAGAGGGAGAAAGAGATGGAAACATCAATGAGAGAGAACATTGACTGGCCGCCTCCTGCATGCCCTGCACTGGGGATTGGGCCCACAACCTGGACATATGCCCTGATCAGGAATCGAACCGGCAACCTCCTGGTACATGGGTCAATGCTCAACCACTGAGCCACACCGGCTGGGCAAAAACCATGTGATTTTAGAACCCTTATCAGAGATCACTGTTTAATAAGAAAAGGATTTAGTGCGGTAGATGACGGCCTAAACTCCAGAGTCAAACTGTCTGGGTTTGCATTCCATTCAGCAATTTAGTATGCCTTTGCAAGTTCACTTAACTTTTTTTCATCTGATACTGTTGAACCTGCCATACCATGTGAGGATTACATAAGACAATCCATTTAAAGCTTCTAGCACAATACCTGACACACACTTTTTAAAATGAGCTATTTATTACTTAGTTTTAATTTCCTCCAAAGTTACTAGTACACACTGGTATTTCTACATCTCCTTATAACAATTGTGCTAATTTTTATTTTTCAAGAAAATTGTCTGTTTCATTCAGATTTTCAAATGTATTAAAGTTCTGTATGTTATTATATTTTAAATCTTCACATCTTACTTTGATTGTTTTTCTTAGGTTTTTACAAAAATTGATGTATGTTATTGGTTTTCTCTTCTCTCTTCTCCACCCTCTACTCCTATTGTTTGAGATATTTTTACCAATGCTACTACATTTTCCTATCCTCTTTTTCATGGAGTTATAGTTTTGCTGATTTTCTAATTTTACCTTTTAAAAAATATAGAATACATTTATAATAATACACATTTGCCTCCTCCACATAAAGTTTTACTCATACCCTTATAATATTGCTAATATTAGTCTCTCCTGTATTTTTTTATTTAATTTTGGTTTAATGTTTATTGAGTAGCATGGGTATATGTGTCGTTGTTGTTGTTTTATTTATGTTATTTTATTTTATTGTTAATCCTCACCCAAGGATATTTTTCCATTGATTTTTAGATAGAGTGGAAGGGAGGGTGGGGGAAGAGAGAGAGAGAAACATCAACTGGTTGCCTCCTGGAGGGCCCCAACCAGGGCCAGGGATTGAACCTGCAACCCAGGTACACACCTCTGACGAGGAATCAAACCTATGGAACTTTGGTCCATAGGCTGAGACTCTAACCATTGAGCCAAATCAGCCAGGGCTGTGTTGTTTTTTAGTCTGTATATCCAGGGGTAAGGTTTTCTTATTTTTCCAATTGTGTTATGTTTGAAACATACAGAAAAGTATAGGGACAAAATACTTGAATAAAATTTCACATCTAGTAATATTGATGTATGGTCAGAAAATGAAATCTACATAGATACTTTTGTTTATGGAAGTTGTTATAGTGACTAGTATAGGATCAAAGCTTTAAGGTGAGTTCTCCATTGTGTAGCAAAAATCTGTCAAAAATTTAAAACATCTAATAGGTTGAGTTAATAACCATTACTTTTTTGCTTACTTGAAATGTCAAGAATGATAGCAGAGTGTTAAATATTAGTATATTTGTATTTTTGTCTCATTTCTAACAGTTTTTCTTTATCTGTCTTGAAGACATATTTATTAATATTGCCACTATTTTGTTTTATAATTTCTGAAGTTAATTGCCCTTTTCTTGTGCTCTGGAAGGTCATTAGGATTTTCTTGGTGACGTCATGGTCAGCTCTTTAATGACATATTTTATAGGAGAAGAAATCCAATTTGGGATGTAAAGTTCTCTTGCTGGGATCTTCAGACTTAGTTTCATAACTGTTTGTATCTATTTGCCTTTTGTTTAGATGTTTGAGGAAGAATCCCACTACCACTGTGCCCTAATGCTCAACCACCGAAAGTCACCTTTAACTGGGACATGGAATTTTACCTCCTGCAGTGAACAACACACTGTGTCTCTCTGCCAGAAATACTCAGGTATAGGTCATTATCTAGACAACTGTGGTACTTTATGATGTTGCATATGTACAGTACTTTTCACAAAGATTTTATAAGTGAATCAATATTAATTTTAATCATTTAGCTTTCTTAAAATTTCAGTGTGACTAAATTCATGTGGGCTCAGTGAGTCAGGTTATCTCAGATGGAATGTGATCTTTTTCTAAGTATTATTACCATACTTAATTAAATATCCAAATTAAGTATCAGGGAGAATTTGTTAATAGGAATTATCTATTGATAATCAGTTATGGTTGAATTTTATTCTCCTTTCTACTCTGGCATTTTTCAGATTTTACTTTCTATCCTGAGAAAGGGAGGAAAAAAACAATATTTTTTAATTTAGTTCAGTATAAATATTCAAAGTTAAATTTAGCACTAGATGTGAAGCCGTTATAAATGAACCAAAATGACTTACTACAATCCAAATAAAACTTAAAAAATAGGAAACATCTCTATTTTCAAAAAGATGTTTTAGGAAATATTAAATTGTTTTCATTGATCACAATAAGTTTTTAACAAATGATTTTTTTTTTAAACTTTTTTATGTAGTGAAAATCTCAAGTAGATTATCTAGGTACTTCTGAGGAACTTTTTGCAAAATTAATCTTTGCTCATTTGTCTCAGACTTTCTGATAACTGTCTTATTTAGAAAAGTACTGTAAAGCCATAATTTAAATATATTCCCTTATTGGGTGATTTTGTACATTTCTTCATGGGAACTCTCCCAGATGAAAACTTGGCAATGGATCACCTCTTGTTGAAGCAGTTCAGACAAAGCAGGTATTTGACACCAACCTGTAATGGAGATCTTTTTGAAGTCTACTTTTTTTTTTTTTGGTACGTGCCCCTAGCGGGAACCGAACCCAAAACTCTCTGGTCCGCAGGCTGACGCTCCAACTACTGAGCCAAACCCGTCAGGGCTCAAAGGCTACTTTTATTTGTAGCTTTCCTTCTTCCTAAATCAGATCAACTAAAACAGAATTTTCTTCTAATTTTATAAAACAAATGTTGGGGCTCATACATTTTACCTAAGGTATACAGGAAGACATACCTAGCTCTCCCACCGAAAATCTAACATAAGTGAATAGACAAGTAACATCTAAAATACACTATTATGGGGGAAAGTTTTTTGTTTGTTTGTTTGTTTTTAATGTCCTATGACTTGCAGAGTGAATAGTTTTTGTGTTGGTTTCCTTTCTGTTTTACTCACAGAAGTTGAAAACAGACAGACCTCACAGAATACTTCCGAAACGGTCAAGTACCTAAATAATCTGTACAAAATAATCCGGAAGAGCCTGACTTGGTCAGAAGCGCTGAGGGAATGCCAGAACGCGAAGATGCGGCTGGTGAGCATCACAGACCCGTACCAGCAGGCGTTCCTGACCGTGCAGGCGGTCCTGTACAACGCCTCGCTGTGGATCGGCCTCTCCAGTCAAGATGTGAGTTCTCAGCCCCGGCTGCCGGGATTGGGGGATGTTGTGTACAGGGTCTCTCCTACCCGACTAAAGGAAACCGGAACTCATACAACCTCGCTCCAGGGAATGAACTTCAGGAAGCATGTAATTTTTAGTGGCAGTTGTCTTTCCACTGTTGAAAGAGCTGTATTGTTTAGACTAAGAAAAAGTCATGGTGGATATATGCAGCTGATTGCTTCTTTTCTATAAAATCCTTGCCCAAAGATATTTTTCCCATTTATCTCCAGATAGAGAGGGAGGGAGGGAGAGAGAGAAAGAAACATCGATGCGAGAGAGACACATTGACTGGTTGCCTTCCCCACGATCCAACCAGGGCTGGGGACGAACCACAGACAAGATACATGCCCTTGGCCAGAATCAAACCCGCGACTCTTTGGTCCACAGGCCGAGGTGCTAACCAAACCGGCCAGGGCTGATTGCTTCTTTTATCTATTCCAACCAAAGACCGAGCTGGGCTCCGCAGCTGCCCTGTCTCCTCAGCTAACGAAGAGAGGAAGGGAAGACTTTAAAAATCAGTGGGGTCAGTGTGTAGAGGCACCATGGATGGCATGGAGACTCCTTTCTGTCCCTTTCAGAATCAGCAGAGTGACGTTAAGCCACCTGACGAAAGGATTCAAATGCAAGCCCTGTTCCTGGTAGATGTTCTTGGGCACTTCTCACTCATGTCATAGCCCCGTAGGGAATGCGAGCCTCCTGGTAATTCCCAACACTAAACTACAGACCAATAGGAATATTGATGCTACCGAAGCTTTTGGTTATAATTAATAGGGATTTTAAAGATAAAACGAGTATTCCTCTCAGCACTATAGGCCATTTTGCCTCTTTTCTGGGCCTTCTCTGCAATACTCTGATACCCTGCCCACTGGGATGTATTGAAGGGTAAGATATCGGGCCAGAGTATAAGGCTGTATACATTATGCAGTACATAGAGGGTGCCATTTACACATTGTGATGTGAACTTTGCCCCCTGCATCTGCACAGTGCATGCCTGGTGGAAGCCCTGGTTAGACCAATGTCACCTACACCTGTCCTCCTAACTCGCTCTCCGAGAGGGTGACTGGCAGAGCAGGAGAGAGAACGAGTCCACCGCCTCATGAAGCAAACCTAAGTTACGTGTACCTCAGGGTGACCCCCAGTGTGCCAAGACAGCTTTAGGGCTGCAGGGAGAAAATGTGAGCCAAGACCACTCTGTCCCAGCACAAACCCAGAGCTGAGCTGGAGCACAGGCTCAGAAGTAACCATTATCTTTGACAAACTTTGGATTCATCACCACCGGCCGTGAACAGAAACTCAATTAAAAGAAACAGTATTTAGAAATTGCTTGAAGAATGGTTTCTCCAACTGGATATTTTAAAATGTAGGCTCATGCCAAACCAGATCGTCGGTTTGAATCGCTGCCCCTCACATCATGGGTCTTCATAGCACCGCCTTAGCTCACTTCCTCTGTGGTGTTTGTTATCATGTGAACCATCACTGCGTCCCTTGTGAGGAAAGTAATAAGCTATTAGATTTCCCAGTTTCGGTCACCTTAAACTTTCTGAAACAAAAGCAATATTGTCGCTCTAGAAAATTTGTCAAGTTATCGCAAATTAAAGGAAAATATTTAAATCGGCTGTAATCACAGTACCCTGTGATAAATATGGTTTCATCTTTGGGTATATAGCCTTCCAGTTGTTTTTCCATGTACACACATATTTATATTTTAGGTCATTGGGATCATACTGTTTTGTAGCATTTTTCCCCACGTAATGTTTTGGTTCTTCTTTCTTATCTTATTTTTCAATCTTCATCTATGTTTCTTTTTTTTTTTTGTTTCTCTTTATTTTAACAAATTCTATACAGCTGTTTATTATGTATCTTCAGAAGCTGCCTTAAATCTTTGGGACGTGACAGGGTATAAGTAAATAAAACTTTACATTGAAAGCAGTGTGAAGGTATTGAAAGATTTTTTTTTTTTAATCCTCACACGAGGACATTTTTTCCATTTTTTGTACAGACAGAGTGGGAGGGAGAGAGAGAAAGAGAGAGAGAGGGAAACATCGACGTGAAGGGACACATCGTGTGGCTGCCACCCGCACGACCAACCAGGGCCGGGGACAAACTGCAACCTAGGTACGTGCCCTTAGCGGGAACCGAACCCGGGTCTCTCCGGACCGCAGGCGGACGCTCTAACCGCTGAGCCAAACTGGCCAGGGCGGTATTGAAAGATTTTAAATGTGGTAACAACACTATCAGATTTTTAGTTAAGAAAAATTATCCTGGGCAGAACGTGGAGAGGAAGTGAGTAATTTAGAGATAGGAGGCTAGTTAGAGTTTCTTGCAGAAATTCATGCAGAACATGATGTCAGCCTGGACTAAGGCACGTTCACAAGGTCTGCAGTGCCGCCGTCTGGGATATATGAAGTCCAGAGTGTGACTGTGGCGGTAGGTCACCAGAGTACTTAGAAAGAAAGCACACAAGTAGAGAATGTCAAGAAAGCTTAGGAACCGGATGAATCACCCACGTGAGCACAGATATCCCTAAATCAGTGGTCGGACCAGGAGATGGAGCAAGACATGAGGCATCTCCCTAGTGGATGCCGGGGAAGAGCCAGGGCCAGATCCGCAGTGGATGTGGGAGAGAGGCCAGGAATCTGGGAGCGGGCAGTGACCAGAGGGGCATAAACCTCAAAGGAAATGACTGAAGGGGATAAAATACCTACAACCCTATTCTCACAGCCCTATGGGATTTGAGAATGAAAAATACAGCCTTCCCTGTGTGTGCTGAAAAGAAATTATTCTCTTGGAAAAGACAGTTTTAATTAAGATGAAGAATTTAGTAAACAGATATGTAAAGAGGTTTCATATTCACTGAGGAGATGGAGGGTGTGGGATGATTAGTCTATGAGCAATGTCAGTTCCAGAGGCCCAAGGGCCTGGCTCAGTTGGGAGCACAGAAAACATGGCGGATACAGGGCCATCCGGAGTCCAGGCCACACCACATGGTCAAAGGGCCACACTGGAAGCCACGTGACCTGGGAATTAACTGGGGACAAGTTACATTCTGGTGGAGAACAACTCAGAATGAACCATTGGTGGTGCTGAGGCTTGACCACGTTTGTTATTTATGGTTCACTAACCAGACGGTGTGTGGCCTTTGCCCAGTATTCCAAAGAAGCCGGTGATACCAAATTACCTTGGGCCTCAGGAGGTCTCAGCCCCACGAGTCGCTGCGTAAGGCCTGGGGCTCTGGCACCATGGAGAAGCTCAGACTGTACCCCACATCTCCTAGACTTCTGTACCAACTCTGTGAAGCCTCCTTCAGGATAGGCAGGCGGTCAAGCCCTTGTCAGGATGTAACCACAGATGTTCATAGCCTGTGGGTACACAATAGAACATAGTGATAAGGAGGCATGTCCCCAAAGACAAGTGTGGAAACTGGCGTGACATCCACATGGTCTGAGGGATTATGTAACTTTCTGTGTGTGAACTAGCTAGCCACTGAGTTACATGTTTTACACATGGTATACCGTTAATTCCAGCCGTTAGGTTAGGTGTCACATCCATGTAACACAGTGGTTCTCAACCTGTGGGTTGCGACCCCTTTGGGCGACCCTTTCACAGGGGTCACCCAAGACCATCAGGAAACACATATTTCCAATGGCAATTCATAACAGTAGCAAAACTACAGTTATGAAGTAGCAACGAAAATAATTTTATGGTTGGGGGTCACCACAACATGAGGAACTGTATTAAAGGGTCGCGGCATTAGGAAGGTTGAGAACCACTGATAACAGCTGAGGGGATGGACTTGGTGAGGTAAACTCACAATCAAAACTAATGTGACTGAACCAGAATTCAAAACCAGGTATGCTTAGCTCCAAAGCCTGTGTTCTCTCCACGACTACATGTTGTCTCTAACTTTATCAGTGCTTACAGAGGTACTCACTCCACCTAAACTTTCTGATTCAACAATCAACCATGCCAATAACGTGTGAGGCTTCATAGTATAATAATTCAGACCGAGGGCGCCAGGGCCCGACGACCTCGATTACAATCCCAGCACTGCTGTTTATGTTCCATGTGACTTGGCGCATGCTACATGCCTTCAGTTTCCTCATCTGCAAAATGGGTGTAATAGTACCTATCTCATATGGTTGTTATGAGGGTTAAATAAGTTAATATTTGTAAAGCACTTAGAACAGTCTCTGGCACATAGTAAGTGCCATGTGTATGTTAAATATTAGATAAAATTAAAAGTCATTAGATTGACCATGAGGACCAAAACAATACCAAAGGGATAACATGAAGCATTGCCACTTGAAACGTATTTCTGTTCCTTTCAGGATGAACTCAACTTTGTTTGGTCGGATGGGAAACATCTTCAGTTTAGTCGCTGGACTGAAAATAATGAGCAGCTGGAGGACTGTGTGTTTTTAGACACTGATGGGTTCTGGAAAACATCTGATTGTGATGCTTACCAACCAGGTGCTATTTGCTACCATTCAGGAGGTATGTTAAATTCAAATATTTTATTTCTCAAGTGACTATCGGTCTCACGTGTAGTGAAATTTGAGGGGAGTGGTTATGTAAAATTTTGTTTTAAAATCTTAAAGAAATTGTCCTGGCCAGTTTGCTCAGTGGTTAGAGCATCAGCCCACAGATTAAAGAGTCTCAGGTTTGATTCCAGTCAAGAGCATGTACTTCGGTTTCAGTTCGACCCCCAGCCCTGGTCAGGGTCATGCAGGAGGCAACCAATCAATGTGTCTCTCTCACATCGATATTTCTCTCTCTCTCTCCCTCCCTTCCACTCTGTCTGAAAATAAATGAAAAAAATATCCTTGTGTGAGGATTAAAAAAAAGAAAAAGAATGCTTTTGAAAAGTTATATATTAAATATTTTGTCATTAATTTGTTATTTTAGACATTTTTTATTTTTATCAGTTGACAATGGTTATTGAACTTTTAAGTCCCCGTTAGCCTCATTTTGATATATTTTCTGTTTATATTCTTTTGTTTTGTTTTGTTACTCCTCACTCGAGGATATTTTTTCCACTGATTTTTATGGAGTGGAAGGAATGAGGGGAAGGGAAGAGAGAGAGAGAGAAGAGGAAGGAGAGAGAAACATTGATGTGAGAGAGACACATCGATTGGTTGCCTCCTGCATGTACCTGACTGGGGCTGGGGATTGAACCTGCAACTCAGATACATACCCTTGACTGAGATCAGCCTGTGACCCTTCAGTCCTCAGGTTGACACTCTAACTACTGAGCCACGCTGGCCAGGGCGATATTCTTACAGAATACCTTATATTTGTGGGAATTCTTTTTTTTTTCTTTATTGATTTTTAAAGAGAGAGGAAGGGAGAGGGAAAGAGAGATGGAAACATTGATGAGAGAGAACATCGATTGGCCGCCTCCTGCATGCCCCCCACTGGGGATCGGGCCCACAACCTGGGCATGTGCCCTGACCAGGAATCAAACCGGCAACCTCTTGGTGCAAGGGTCAACGCTCAACCACTGAGCCACATGGGCCAGGCTGTGGGAAATTCTTTTGTAATTCTTATCATTAACTAAAATTTCTTCTATGACTCACTGTTAAGATTCACATGGTAGTAAGTAACAGCACCCAGCTCAAGCTAGCTTAAACCAAAAAAGAATTTTAGTTCCTCAAAAATGGGGGTAGAGCTAAACCCCATGAGGAAGGGGGATCAGAAACTCAAACTGTCTTCTGCGTGCCCTTTCTTTGCTCTGTGGATCTGCACTCCTCTCTACATACTTCCTGCTCCTCTCTGCACGTGATAAAACGGGCAGCTCTGCAGCTCCCCTGTGACCTCACTGGAGGTGAAGTGACTCTCTCTGAATCCCACTTTTCAATTTCATAGAATCTGAAGGGCTCCGCTGACAGGTATGCAATCTCTAGCTCACTCAGAGGCAAGTGGGGTTACATGTGTGGGTGTGGGGTGAGAAGACATGGCTGCCCAGGCAAAGGGACTGGCTGGGAGCTGGGAGCGACGCTGAACTGCTGAAGCCGTTTGACGGGCTCTGAGTAGTGCATGTCTGTACTTGCATCTTTTTGCATGTCTGGCCTTTTCACAAAATGAAAAGAAAAAAAAAGCTCTAATCAGATTTTCTAGATGTCAGATTTTAAACTATTTCTGTCTGCTTTGGTTAAAGCAATAATTTATCTAGAACATCGCATGTTTCATTAAAATGCTCCTTTAAAATTAGACAAGATATCAGACACTTGAAGACAAACTCTCAAAGTTACAGTTAGGTGCCTATGTTTGTGTCGCTTCTCTGAGGCAGCCTCTTGTATTTGAAGTTTGGAGATGCCGGGAGACAGAAATGACATTTAACTCAATAGCACCTCATTTTTCACGTTCTTCCTCTCACTCCACAGCAGGGGAGAGAAAATTGCTGTGTTAGACCATTTCTTTCCTGCAGAAAGCCAGTGAAGAGGTTGCATTATGTTGGGTAGAAACAAAACAAGCAGCGCCAGGCTATTATGTCCTGGCTTCCTGAATATTTCCTACTAATCAAGTCTAATTACTACAAACAGGATTTAACATTTATATCTGAAATTAGTACTCAGACCCTTCATTTTTTTTTTTTTTTTTTCTAGATGAGATTGAAAGAGAGGTCAACCCAGTTAACAGTGTTCGATGTCCATCTCCTGTTTTAAATACTCCATGGATACCATTTCAGAACTATTGCTACAATTTCATGATAGCAAAGAATAGATATACGGCGGTGACCCAAGACGATATTCATTCCAGATGCCAAAAACTGAGTGAGTCTGTTACCTGGCCACTATATATTGCATTATGCTCATTTTTAAACACCTCACCTGAGTGTGTGATAAATATATCTAATTGGTACTACTAACCAAGTTCTCAAAAATATTCATCTTCTCATTTTGACATTATCAGTGACATAGTATTAAAGTTTGTGTTTAGTTGAAATGGAAGATATAGGAGTTACCTCTTTCTTCACCCACTCATCAGAGAGCTAGTCTGTCTTTACAGGTGTAAACAAAATGGGTTCTACTTAACAAGGAAAAGAAATGACATTTCCTAGCAGACACTATCAAGCCAGGTGGTGGGCAAAATGAAAATAAGTTTATTTGAGTGGTCAAACGCTTAAATAAGCCTCAAAGAAGCAGCTCTGCTTTTTCAGAAAAATTACATATTTCACATTTTGAAGACTCTTCAGATATTTCCTAGAAGCTCCACTGAGGATCTGGAACTTCTGAACAGTGAACCTATGAATTCTGTGGAAAGTTCCTGTGGACAAATAAGGCATTGCCCCCAAAGTGTGCTCTGTAGAACATTAGTCCTGAGATATGTTCTACAAAAAGGGATTCTTAGAAAAAGAACAAGGTTTGTTACAGAAAAGACTCAAAACACTGGAGGAAGCAAAGAGGCTCCTTTATTCACACATGCGGACCCAGAGGAGGCAGTCTCTAAATTCTGGGCCCCGAGTTGCAGGGCACGCCTAGCTTTATAGCGGGCTGGGTGGACATTCTTTTTTTTTTTTTTTAATCCTCACCCGAGGACATTTTTTTGTTCAGATAGAGTGGGAGGGAGAGAGAGAGAGAAACATCGATGTGAAAGGGGCACATCGAGTGGCTGCCACCCACACAACCAACCAGGGCAGGGGACAAACTGCAACCGAGGTATGTGCCCTTAGTGGGAACCGAACCCAGGTCTCTCTGGACTGCAGGCCAACGCTCTAACCGCTGAGCCAAACCGGCCAGAGCCTGGGTGGATATTCTTTAGATGCGAGAGAGGTAAGCAGTTTACAGAAGCAGGAAGCAAAAGGGTTTGGTTATCTCCTGGGTACTTGCTTTTTCTAAAATGGCAGTTTACTTCTACTATCAGGTTAAGAAACACTACACACCATCGCTTCGTGTTAGAGATGATCAAATGTGCATTTGCGTATACTGTAAGAAATACTTGCATAAACGGACTAGTTGATTTGTTTAAGCAGTCTTTGCAAAGTTTTTATCTATGTTGCTCTTTTCTGAGGAACCTCACATTAATTCCCCGAGGAACACACTATGGGAAATATCAAACTTTTTTAACACCAATATAAGAGTGATCACTAAGACAAAGGAAGATCTGTCTTAGAGTCTAACCAGGATGTTTTATTTATCACAGTCTTTGACAATATACCATTAATATAGGTGGATTTGTACCAATTCCAAATAAGCTTTAAATGGGAAAAGTGAAGTGAATGCGTTTTTAATTTCTCTACTAGCTTGTCACTATTCTATAACACCTTATTTATCATCAAAATGTTTTAAAATTTCTTAACCTGTTCATTTTAGTACAACAAGCAATTTTAATTGACATTTTTCTTATTTTCTGCTGTTGTTAAAATTTGGGAGTATATTAAATTGGGAAATACCATTTTCTAAATCAAACAAAATAAAATGTTCTAGATAAATAATTGTTAAAATTATTGACTGTTTTTTATTTTACAGATCCAAAATCACATATTCTGAGTATTCGAGATGAAAAAGAGAATATCTTTGTTCTTGAGCAACTTCTGCATTTTAATTATATGGCATCATGGGTCGTGTTAGGTATAATTTATGAAAGTAAGTTGTAAATCTATTGATTTTCTCTTTAGTCATACTTCATTAGAAATGACTTATTTATCAAGCTATAAAAGTATGGTTCTTCAAAGTATATGCTTATCAATATACAAAATTACAATTATGCACTTAGTATAACATATAAATACAAAGACAGTTTTTGTATCTCTGCTATTAAAATGTCTTTACCACAAATCCTAGAGTTAAATGGTAGAAAATAACTTTCTTTCTCTACTCTTCCTTTCTAGCAGTTCAAGACTAACTAAACACGATCACACTCCCATGTAAATCTCCTGTGTTTACTTTGTATCTGTACTATGTATGTGGGGCAAGTGAGAACAGAACTACTCTTCTAATGTGCACCTTCGGCCTTACGGCACTCGTCTGGGTTAGACCTTAGGGAAATCAGACTCACAGTCAGATAGTGGGATAGAATGTTTGACATTGGGACCAAATACCATAAATCCAAGACATAATTGCTATAAAAATTTTTTAGACACAGATTCTAATAATAGGGGAAATAAAATCAATTTAGAAAGATACTCAATTAGAGATGTCCTGGAAAATCATAGGAGTTTTGGAATTTGAAAAAAGAAAATCACTCTGTGGGCATTAAGTATTAAACATATACATTTTCCCCAAAAACAGGGCTTGATAAGGAGCACAGGACAGTAATAGCCAGAGGTGGGGTAGGAAATTAAGCTAAATTACTCAAATATGGCCATTTAAAAATATCCTTCTCTTTGCTATCTAACTTGTCTTTCTTAGAGTTGCAAAGGCTTTTCTTAAATGTTATGAATTGTAAATGAGTTAATGAAAATTAAGCTATCAAGCAATAGGTAAGACTATAGTTGCCAGTTGAAGGTGAATTCATCATAGTAGGACTTAGTTGCCCAAGTTGTTTTTTTGTTTTTTGTTTTTCCAGTGACATTTGAATACCCTTAAATTTAGAAATGGAAAAAAAAAGGAAACTAGGAAGAAACTTCCCAGGCTGTACCTGAAAGTGACTGAGGAAACAGCAGTCCCATCTGGAGCAGTGGAGACCATACCCACAACATACTTAGAGATTTTAGTTGTACCCTCTGATGCACTTCGTTAGTTATATTATCACAAATAACTGAAAATGTACTCTATATTCTGAGTATTCGAGATGAAAAAGAGAATATTTTCAGATCTCAAGACTTTCTTTTAATCATCCTAAATATTTTTTCTCTTTATTTATTTGAGATAGAGAGGAAGGGAGAGGGAGAGATAGAAACATCGATGAGAGAGAACACTGATTGGCTACCTCCTACATGCCACTACGGGGGATTTGGCCCACGACCTGGGCATGTACCCTAACCAGGAATCGAACCAGTGACCTCTTGGTGCATGGGTCAACGCTTAACCACTGAGCCACACCAGCTGGGCAATATATTATTTTTAATAAAATAGTTACATTCATTGTCATTGCAGTCAAACACACATATAGGAGAAATGACTATTCAATGAAAGATAACAAAATATAAAGTTATTGCAGAATGGTGGGATTATAAGTAAATTTTTGCTTTCATGTTTATAATTTATACTTTCAAAATTGAAAATAAGCATGATTTACTGTTATACTTGTTTTAGAAGGATACACATACTCATACAACCTTTTAAGAAATGGAGACAGGAGAAAGAAAAGTTGAGATTGAAATATTAACGTCATAACTGTAATTCAAGTATTGATTTAATCTCTAAGCATAGAAAAAATGTTTCTTCTCTAGATAATTCTCTTATGTGGTCTGATAAGACGATGCTGTCATATATGAACTGGAGAGAAGGAAGACCAGCTCTAAAAAATGGCCATTTTTTTGTTGGCTTGAGTACTGATGGCTTCTGGGATATTAAAACCTTTAATGTCATTGAAGAAGTACTTCACTTTCATCAGCACAGCATTCTTGCTTGTAAAATTGAAATGGGTAAGTATGCCGATGTAGAGTTTCCACCCCAGGGAAAGAGAATAGAAAGCCGTTAACTCCACTAGCAGGAACCTTGCAGCTGTGTTTTCTGAGAGCCTCCCCTGGGTTCAGTCCTATGAGAGGCAGGAAGAGACACCGTCCCTGGTGTTCTGGGCTTGATCTCAAGGCGTAGAAGGTAGTCAGCGAGACAGCATTCAATTCTTTATCACTGTTTTATGTAGATTAGTCTTAGCTTATTTGGTACAGGTTTGCATTTATTGGGAAGTCAACGTAGATCAGTGAAAGCAAGTGATGCACAGAGCAGGTAAAACTTGGCTGTACTTTGAAGAATGGATACAATTTGTATAAATAAGAAAGTGTGTTTAGGGAGAGTTTTGACATTCCAGGCTAAAAACAAATGTCTCTCAACCTTAAATGCACGTCAGCTTTAAAATGTCCACAGTTTAAAAACCGTTCTTCCATGGCCACCCGCTGTAAGCGCTCCGCTGACACGGAGCATCAGTCTATCTCCTCCCTCCTGGAGCTGCCGCGCACCTTCCCGGAGCACCGTTTCCGGCAACACTCTCCAGGAATTTTCCGTTACCTTTGAGTCCATGTAAGCTTTTGAGGCTTTTTAGAAACCACTGTCTATTCTCAAATTCCAGGCTTTCTCCAAGCCCCCATTTTCCTCCCATTCTTGGCTCAGGAAAGATTTCTTCTTCCAGGCTGATCTCTTCATTGTCCCATGTACAGTGTGTGCCCATCCTCATTTGCACCTTTATTTATGTTATTTTCCTGCCAAGAAGTCTTTCACCTTCTTTCTGTTTTTTTTTAATATCTTTAACAAACTTTTCATTTTAAAAGTTTGAAACTTGCAGAAAAGTTGCAAAGATAATCCAAAGAGTTCCCATGTATTATCATAACCAATTTCTCCTTGTGTTGACGTCTTTTATTCGTACAGTACATTTGTCACAACTAACAGACCAATGTTGATGAATTATTATGAACTAAATCCATACATTATTCAGGTTTTCTTGGTTTTTACTTAGTGTCATCTTTCTGTTCGGATTCCATTCAAGATACCATGTTGCATTTGATCCTCATGTCTCCTTCGGTTCCTCTTGGCCACGACAGTTTCTCAGACTTTTCTTGCTTTGGGTGACAGTTTTGAGGCGTGCTGGTCATGCATTTTGTAGCATGTCCTGCATTCTTTTCTCGTGATTAAACTGGGTTATGGTTTGGAGTTTAGGGAAAAGCCACAGCAGTGGTGTCGTCCTCATCACAGCGTATGGAGAGTACGCTATCAACATGACTATCACTACTGACTTTAACCCGGACCACCTGACTCTGGGTAATGTTTGTCAGATTCTTCCACTGCAGAGTTACTCCTTTCCCCCTTTCCATACCACACTCTCGGTAAGGAAGTCACTGGACTCAGTCCACACTCACATAGTGGAGAGGTATTCTCCACCTTATTCAGAATGCTACTGCACAAGTTTATCTATCCTTCCCATTTTAAAATTTATTCAGTCATTTCATAAGTCAGTCAGAGAAAGAAAAATACCATTTGATTTCACTTATATGTAGAATCCAAAGAACAATATAAATGAACAAACAAAACAGAAACAGACTTATAGACTCAGAGAACAGACTGATGGTTGCCAGAAAGGTTGAAGGAACTGGGTGAAAAAGATGAAGGGATTGAGAAGTACAGATTGGTAGTTTCAAACTAGTCATGGGGAGGTAAAGTACAGCATCGGGAATATAGTCAATAATATTTTAATAACTATGTATGGTGTCGGGTGGGTACTGGAAATATCAGCAAGATCACTGTGTAAACTATGATTGTCTAACCACTATTCTGTACACCTGAAACTAATACAAAATAATATTGAATGTACACAGTAATTGAAAAAAAAACATTCAGTCATTTATTGATATTAGTATGGGCTCCTGGTTAGTTATAGCATACTGGGAATGTAATCTAATATACTACATTATTTAAAATTTGCTGACACTGTTCCAGCTCTGGCCTTTGGGAGCTCTTTCCCTTGCTGTCTACACGCCTCTGCAAGACCCTCATCATTGTGGTTTCGTTGCTGCTATTTGTGCGGTTGTTTTATGCTCACTTTCTCTTACATTATTTCTTTTTAGTCCTAATTTCACCTACCCTAACCTCTGGAGACCTAATTTTTTAAGTGAGCTTTCTGACTCTCTTAATTGAGAGAACTCGCTCCTTCTCTAGTCGGTTTCACATATTCTAGTGGGTTTTGCCCTCACAGCAGGCGTTGTTTTCTGTCCACAGATAATGTATGAGCTCCTTCAAGGGGCCAATAAGAACACTGAAGTGTGCATTCGACCTCCCTTCTGCATAAGAAACCCAGCTTTGTTTCACTTTGGAAGTGATTCTGTGACCAGTCTTACCCAAGATATGAATTTTAAATCATTTACGTTTAACCACTAACACTTTTCATTTCAATATTATAGTTGACTACAAGGAAGAATATAATACTACTCTGCCACAGTTTATTCCATATAAAGATGGTATTTACAGCGTTATTCAAAAAACAGTGACGTGGTATGAAGCAGTCAACACGTGTGCTCAGAGGGGAGGCCATCTGGCGAGTGTCCACGACCAGGACGGCCAGCTCTTCCTGGAGGATGTCGCGAAGCGGGACGGATTTCCGCTCTGGGTTGGGCTCTCGAGTCACGATGTGAGTATTGCTGTGTTTTCCAGAAAGTTTCCACACCTGTTAGAGGTTTGGAACTTGGAGCATAAAATACCAGTTCAAAGTATAACAGCAGATTAAGTCCTGGGACTCAATTTGCTGAGCACAGTGCTGTCTTGACTTTTCACAACATAGAACAAATAGAAAACTATGTTTGTAGAGGACACTACGGCACGCGGGCAGGGCTGCCGAGGCCCTACACACTGCCGGGCCCAGCAGGTGGGTCCCTCAGTCCTGCCTCTGGGACCTGTTTGGGGAAGAACAGTTGAAAAGCTGGTGAAAAGGGACTAGCTCAGCATCAGAAAAAACTGAGTTTCCAGACCAGAGGCAGATCTTCCATTTGCACTGGGGTGACCATGAGCAAGTTGACATTTACAACTCATCTGTAAAATGCTGGAGGGATAATATTTTCCTTAATCTAGGATGATAGTGAAGATTAACACAAAAATTGCTATAAGGTTCCAAGTAAAATTCTTCACTTTAGGACTAGTAAATGTATATTTTCTTCCCACTTTCCCTCTTGAAATTAGCACCACTTCAGAGTAATCTTCTGCTGGTAAACACGTCTTTGGTGCCACTTTTTGAGTATATTCATGTACTTATAATAATGTCTAGTATACAAAAAAAAGACATCTGTGGAGATAAGAATTGAAGGCCTAATTCAAATAATCTTAGAACAAAGTGGGGAAAATAAAGTAAAGGATGGCAAATTTGGATTATAGAATCAAGGAAAAATCAAAAGTAATCTTCACGTATGAGGTCCTTGGGAAGTAGTTTTCTCTTCTAGCCCCTTGCTGATTGCTGGCTTCTGTAATATGAAAAAATGTAGCCAGAGACATAAACCACAAAACTCTATAACATAAAAAACAATATTTAGAATGATATCAATGTTGGAATTGTAAATCTATCATTGTGACACATAGAAGCCATTTGCACGTCATTTAATTTCAAGTGCAACATAAACTCGTTCTTAAATAGAAAAAATCTAGAGACAGAGTGTAGTAATTAAAATTGTGCTGGGGGAAAGTGTCTCAAATCAGGGTATCAAAAGTAAATCCCTGATTTTACAAATAGGTCCAGACCTACAGCATTTATGAGCAAATAATGAATGCTCCATTCCAACATTTCTTAAAGTATATATGTTCTTCTTTATGCTCTCTTTTGAAGTCAGGCATCTAGACTCAGGTTGTCTCTGTACTTCTTGAAACAGGGAACGGAATCCGATTTTGAGTGGTCTGATGGCAGTGCACTTGACTACATCCCATGGAAAGACAAACAATCTGCTGGCAATTGTGTTCTCTTGGACCCAAAAGGAATTTGGAAACATGAAAAATGCGACTCTTACAAGGATGGCGCTATTTGCTATAAACCTACAAAACGTAAGACTTGATTCCAAATAACCATGTATTTACTAAAACACGGCATTTGTTTTATGCATTTGATTAAGTATTCAAAGGAATTCTTATAGATTGTAAATACTATTTATTCACAAACTCCAAAAATAATTTTAATACTTTGTGAAGAGAAATAAATACAACATACCCGTTCAGGGAATTTGTTCTCAAAGATATTCAGTTCTATCACGAGGTAAGTTTTAACTCTAGAATTGGTGAATTTCAGTTTTACTTAGCAGTATTTTCAAAGGCTGAGAGGCTTCTTTTAAAGAGGCATCCAGTCCTGCTGGTGTGGCTCAGTGGTTGAGCATCAACCCATGCACCAAGAGGTCACCGGTTTGATTCCCACTTATAACATATGTCCGGGATGTGGGCCCAATCCCCAGTGGGGAGCATGCAGGAGGCGGCCAATCAATTTTCTCTCTCGTTGATGTTTCTGTCTCTCTCCCTCTCCCTTCTTCTCTTTCTAAAATCAATAAAGAAAAACAAAAAAAAAATTTTTTTAAAAGAGGCGTCCACAGCATGTAAATATGGGAAACGCCTCAGGTGGTCTACTGTATTGACGGCTTAGAGTTTCAATAGTCAAGAAGTCTGTTGCACTTTGTGTAACTAAGCATTTTCCAAACATATGCATGTGATCCTTAACATCTGAGGAAAGAGCCCGTTCCATCAGGGCTGGACCTGGGTTCATTTCTGGTGGGCCAGCGTGAGCCTTGGGGAAGAGCTCGAGCCCCCAGACTACCCGGGAGCTGCGGCTGGGCAGGCAGGGCCCGGTGCGGCGTTGGTCTCCTCAGCGCTGGTCCTCAGCGCTGGCCACGTTTTCTGCTCCAGAGAATCTTCAACAGAGGATGCAACCTTTGGAACTGAATGGATTCAGGCAGAGGAAAATGTGAAAACCTCATCTAGAGAAACAAACAGATACAAGAAAGGGAGAATGATATAAGGAATAAGGAATCAAGGCACCCTCAAGAACTGACATCTTAGTTGTTAGGTACAGAAAATAAATACAATCTTTTAAAACACAATTAGAATACATGAGAACTATGATAAGGCATGCAGACGTGGAGAGGGCATCTGTGTGAGAGAAACACACTTTACAGGCTGAAGGGGAATGTCAACGTCATCAAATACAAATTCAGTCCTATACTGAGGGGATCGGTGTCCCCCCCAAGTTTGTGACCTCTTGGAACATCAGAGTGTGACCTTATTTAGAAATAGTCTTTGCAGATGTAATTCATTAAAATAAGGTCAATCTTGATTAGGATGCAGTGATCTTGTCCTTATTAGAGGAGAGACGGACACACAGGGAAGAAGGACATTGATGGCAGAGACCGCAGTGATGCTGCCACCAGCCAAGCAGTGATGGTAGTCAGCAGAAACAGGAGGAGGCATGAAACCTTCTCCCTCAGACCCTCCAGGAAGAGCGACCCTCTGTTCAGTCTTCTAGCTCCCAGACCCGTAAGCGAATACATTTCTGTGGTTTTAAGCCATCAAGTTTGCTAATTTATTATGGCAGCTAATTTATTGAGGCAACTCAAACACCGGATCTTCGGAAAGAAAAAGAAAGTAACAAGTGTTGGTGAAGATGTCGAGAAATTGGAACCCTTGCACGTTGTTTGTGGGGATGTGAAATGGGGTGTCGCCACTGTGGAAAATGGCATGGTGTTTCCTCAAAATATTTAACATAACATTACCATATGTTCCAGCAATTCCACTTCTGTGTACGTACCCCAAGGACATGAAAGCAGGGATTTGAACAGATATTTGTGCAATCATGTTTATAAAAGCCTTATTCTCAATAGTCAAAAGGTGGAAGCAAGCCAAGTGTCCAAGGGTGGACAAAATGTGGTATGTACACATTATGAAGTATTATTCAGCCTTAAAAAGGAAGGAAAATCTGACAATGTAAATGAACCTTGAAGAACCATAAGCCAATCACTGAAGGACAAATGCTGTATGATACCCCTTATTTGAGGTACCTAGAACTGTCAAATTCATAGAGACAGGAAGTAGAATGGTGTTTGCTAGGGGGTGGAAGGAATGGGAGTTATTTAATTAGTATGAGTTTTCAGTCTGAGAAGATGAAGAAGTTCTGCAGGTGGATGGTGGCACAATAATGTGAGTGTGCTCAATGTTACTGAACTATGCACTTAAAAACAGTCACAATGGCCCTGGCCGGTTTGGCTCAGCAGTTAGAGCGACGGCCTGTGGACCGGAGAGTCCCGGGTTCGGTTCCCACTAAGGGCACGTACCTCGGATGTAGTTTGTCCCCGGCCCCAACGGGGTCATGTGGGTGGCAACCACTCGATGTGTCTCTCTCACGTCGATGTTTCTCTCTCTCTTCCTCCCTCTCTCCCTCTATCTGAAGATAAATGCAAAAATGTCCTTGGGTGAGGATTAAAAAAAAAATAGTCGCAGTGATAAATTTTATGTTATGTGTATTTTACCATAATAAAACAACTGAATATTCCTGAACAGAAATTTAACAAACATCACAATGTTGGCCCTTGCAGGAAAAAAAAAAATGCAAGTATTGGAAGTAAAACTCCATGAATTAGCAGTAAAGAAAGAAAATGTATGCAGTCTAAGATAGCCCAGATGCAGACTGGACTAGAAATGAGTAGACTTTGAAGATAAAGTATCTCCATATATTCCTAGTATAAGAAGAGTTGTTTTGTTTTGTTTTGTCGGGTGTTTTGTTTTTTTTTTAAGCCAAGCTATTCAGAAAGGTCCACCAGGCTTAGCCATGCACTCCTAGCCAGTATTCAATGTGTGTTGCATCTAATGAAGCAACACACACCATTGCCTTGTGCAACAATGGAGTTGTCAGCAGTGTCTTTTTTTTTTTAATCCTCACCCAAGGACATTTTTTGCATTTATCTTTAGATAGAGCAGGAGGGAGAAAAGGGGGAGGAGAGAGAGAAACAGCGACTTGAGAGAGACACATCAACTGGTCGCCACCCACACAACCCCAACCGGGGCCGGGGACAAACTGCAACTGAGGTACGTGCCCTTAGTGGGAACCAAACCCGGGACTCTCTAGTCTGCAGGCTGATGCTTTAACGGCTGAGCCAAACTGGCCAGGGCATAGCAGTGTATTTTTGAGAAAGCAACTATTTTTACAAGGTGGTTAAAGGAAGAACTTACTAGCAACGTCTTCCTCCATCAGCAGCATTAATGTAGCACCATCACAGTCTTATAGACTCTACAGATGGATTTGGCTATGAGCTTTGATCATCAGTCACTAGGAAACTGACCCAGGCATTATCCACTGTCAAACTGAAGGACGACTTAGACCTCAAACCAAGGGCATTCATGAAAAGAATGGAGGCAAAAGCCAATCAAATAAATAAAGTTCAAGGAAGATCAAGCCCATCTGGAAAAACAGAAGACAGAGAAGCAGAAGGAATTGGAGCAGTCAGAACGTCTCTTGATGAAGAAGGAAATGGCAGCAGCCCTTTTCTGGAATCACAGGGACCACAATAAGAACTCTGCCAAACAGATGTGGAGGAGAACGCAGGAAAAGCCTTCCGGTACTGAAGGACGTGCAGACCATGCAGAACACAGACAGAGGAATAGCTTGGGTTGAGCGTGCGCATCACCAGGTCAGAGCTTTGATTCCAGTCACCTGTACCTCACAAGTAGGATGTTGACAGTGTACTTTCCAGTTCTCATACTCTCTTCTGTGGAAATTAATAATAGATGTTAAGAGGCACAGGCTTTGTTACACCAGCTTCTTGTGTTATACAGTGCAATTAAAATTTAATTATTTTAAATGGAAACCAGGGGAGTTTTTAAAAGCTAAGAAATTACATCTACTCTTTTTTTTTTCTCATCCGAGGATATATTTCTACTTATTATCAGAAAGAGTGGGAGGGAGGGCGAGAGAGAGACAGAGAGAAACATTGATGTGATAGGGCCACATCGACTGGCTGCCTCCCGCATGACCCCACCAGAGCCAGGGATGAACCACAATCGAGGTACATGCCCTTGACTGGAATCGAACCCATGACTCATTGGTCTGCAGGCCAATGTTCTAACCACTGAGAAAAACCAACGAGGGCTACACCTACTCTATTTTTTTCTTTGCTGATATATTGCATTTTGTAAACACATTAACAAATTTTCACTTGTGGTGGTAACTTTTTTTTATTTTTTGAGATGTTTTCATTGATTTTTTAGGGAGAGAGAGATAGAAACATCGATGTGAGAAACATCTATCAGCTGCCCCCTGCATGCCCCCTACTGGGGATCAAGGCCATAACCTGGGCATGTGCCCTGACCAGAAATAAAACTGGGACCTCTCAGTCCATGGGAAAATGCTCAGCCCACTGAGCCACACCAGCCAGGCTGTGGTCATGATTTTTAAAAGTAGTTCTGTATATGGCAAGATAAAACTAGGTTTATATTATCAGAATAAAAAGGAATCCGAAGAAAGAATTTTAATTATTATTCCAAGTAGTTATAGGCCTGCCTATCCTGTCTTTGCTTCTCCTCCTATTCTGTCCTTCCAACTGTTTTTAATTTAGTCTAAATCCATCTTCGGGGCAAGTACTTTTCTTTATCTTCTATGTTTTAAAAATGGTATTCCAAAAAGCTAATTAGAATATATACTCAAAAGTCCGTCATTATTTGCTGTGCATTTATACAACTGTCTCACGTGTTTGTAGCTAAAGAGGCCGTCTCTCCGACGCGCTCATCGAGGTGTCCCGCAGACGGCGGGAACGGGCCCCCGTGGGTCCAGTACAAGGGCCACTGCTATGCACATGACCAGGCATTGTACAGTTTCTTGGAAGCCAGACAGTTTTGTTCAGAACTTGGTGAGTTAAAATTAATTGATTTTCTTTGACCCAATAATTTAATCATTGGAGTTTTTTAAAGAAATAGTTTGAAATGATAATTATATATTTTTAAATATTTTTAAAGAACTGACTATTTATAATAGCATTATAACCTAATTGCCCGGTGGTGGGGAAGTGGTTACATATTTTATGACATATGACCTCAGTGGGATATTGGAATAGCCATTAAAAATGATCAATCTAAGAATAAGTACATGGGAAATAAAAGTGAGAACCGCTGGTTTAGGGTTTGTTTTCCTTCAACAGGCCATTCTGCAACTATTGTTACCATAAAGGATGAAGATGAGAATAAATTCGTGAGCAGACTGATGAGGGAAAATAATAATATCACCATGAGAGTCTGGCTTGGATTATCTCAACATCCTGCTGGTAAGTGACATCATTGTGTGTGGAGTATGCAGGGTTCTAACTTGTCCTCAGTACCAAGTCAGCCTTGCTAAAGAATGTCAGATGGTATCTAATTCAAATGCTTCTTATTGCTAAATAATCTAGGTCTGCTGGCTGCTTTCAAGGCTTAAAAATTCCTAATGAATAAGTGAATGACTTCTTAGTAATGATGGAAAACACTAATGAAATAGAAAATCAGTGGAAACCAACTGGAATTTTTAGAAGTTTAAGATAGCTGGACCAATAGGATGTATTTTTCTTCCACAGCAGTATCTTTGTGCCCCGTGCTCCCACGATGACCCTATCACTTCTCATGTCTGTCTCCCCAAGTTTTTCCAGCTTACAACTCTGTTCTTCAGAAAGTGCTTTTCTTGTTGTTCCCTTACCTCTTGGAACATTTTCACCATAGAGCAAAATTAAATCTTCATAGTGATTTTTTTTTCTTTTTTTTTTTATCCTCACCCGAGGACATTTTTCCATTTTTTGTACAAATAGCGTGGGAGGGAGAGAGAGGAAGAGAGAGAGAGGGAAACATCGATGTGAAAGGGACACATCGAGTGGCTGCCACCCGCATGACCAAGCAGGGCCGGGGACAAACTGCAACCGAGGCACATGCCCTTAGCGGGAACCGAACCAGCGTCTCTCTGGACCGCAGGCGGACGCTCTAACCGCTGAGCCAAACCGGCCAGGACTGATTTTTTTTTTTTTCAAACTAGCTTAGTAAAATTGCAAAGAATTGCTTCTAAAAGATCTGTGGAAGAATATTTCAATAAAGAATAACAGATACAGGGGTTGAGTGAACTCAAATGGAAAAAGAATGAATTCAGGGTACAAAGTCAATAGAATGATAGGAAGTCTGTTTCACATTTTATGCACAGTTTAATTCTAAATATTTGAAATAAATGTGAATTCCAAAATGTTAGGTACTCGTCAAAAGGAGACAGTGGGGCAGTGTGCAGCTGATGTTTTGTTGAGTTGTATACTTGAAACCTGTATGATTTTGTGAACCAATGTCATCCCAAAAATCCAATTAAAAATAATTAATTCAAAAATAAAAACTCAAGCTCTTTGCCATATCTACTGTGAGGATAAAAACCATTCTCAGCAATCGGACTGTCAACATCATTCTGAAGGGACACACAGTTACCGCGGAGGGCCCCAGGGGCACCCTGCGGAGGGACTTCAATCGTATCAATGTAGAACTCAGTCTCCTTGGGAGGGAAAAGAAGAGGCTCTGGGTCGGCAGATGGTAGGGACATAGAAAGGAACTGGCCACCATCGGTACTATCGGCAGAGCGTGATCAAAGGTGTCAGTTACACTGGGCTGTTACAGGATGAGGTCTGTGTACGCTCACTTCCCCATCAACACCAGTATGCAGGAGTATGGCTCTCTTGTTGAAATCAGAAATTTCATGGGCAAAAAATAATCCACAGGGTTCGGATGATGTCAGGCATTGCTTGTTCGGTTTCTCAAGCCCAGAAAGATGAGTTGATTCTTGACGGAAATGACATTGAATTTGTATCAAATTCAGCTGCTTTGATTCAGAAAGCCATAATAGTGAGAAACACAGATATCAGAAAATTTTGAATGGCGTCTATATTTCTGAAAAAGGAACAGTTCAACAGGCTGATGAATAAGATCTAAGTTGTCCAGCTATAGAAACAGCAAGGTGCTGAATGATTCATCAGACTTATTTGCGATATTTTAAAGATGCAATAAAAGTCATGTATTGATTTGGAGGAAAATAATAAAAGTTAAAAAACAAAAACTCAATAAAAAGAGAGAATGGAATAAAAATTGACCATCAATGAATTGTAAATTGTGTTTACATTATGACCACAAGGTGGTGCTACCTCAACTGGAAAATAAAGATGGCATCTTGGTGGGGAGACCCTCCTGGACCTGCCTTCCCTACAAACATACCTTTGACGATATGAGATTTTTAATTGGGGGCAGAAGAGGGAGGGAGATACAGGTCTTTAGAAATCTATCTCTCATGCAAAAAATGTGCAAGAATTCTGCCCTTTCATCAAAACACTACATTCTGTATCAGTGTGGTCAACAGAACTTCCTACCTCCACGCTGTCCGATAAAGTAGTCACTAGTCACATAGAGCTACTGAGCACTTAAAATGTGACAAGTGCAACTGATGACTGGTTTTTTAAATGCACTTAAAATGTGACAAGTGCAACTGATGACTGGTTTTTTAAATTATTTCACTTTTGATGAATTTTATTTTAAATAGTGGCACAACATTGTATGAGCCACAAGCCTTTTTACGTTGGTAATTTAGTGGCAAGAAACATAGTTGTGTTTTATTTCTTTTTTTCTTTTAGATAAATCTTGGTATTGGTTAGATGGACCAAAAGTGACATTTGCCAGGTGGGCAAATAAACGTAAGAGTGATGGTGGAAAATGTAGCATTTTGTTAGCTTCAAATGAAACTTGGATAAAAGTTGAATGTTCACAGGGCTATGGGAGAGTTGTCTGCAAAGCTCCTTTGGGTAAGTATGTAAACTGTCCTTAAGAAGCATTTTTGCAGAACAGGCTAGGAAATAAATGTACAATTTAATAATATGCAAAGTTTTATACTTGGTCCTGAAGTATTTAGTCCTAAAATATATATATTTTTAAAAATCTTAAGTCATAGAGGTTCTTTCCCTTGGAAAAATAGATTACAAGAGGCAATAAATGCACCAGATATCTAGGACTTCCCGAGGAAGCGACTAAATGTCTAAATTTTGTGCAATTCTTTCCTAAGAAAAATGGAAGCTACCAGCATATTAGACAGGTCATTTCTTTGAAAATGTTCTTAAGATATATTTTAGTCTATAGTTTAAATATGTAATAGCTCAAAGATTTAATTCTACAGTTTGCTTTCTTTCTCCTCATTCCCTTAAAACTCACGATTAACAACACTGCACAACTTGATTTAATTAATTAAAATTACCTGGATATCTGTAGGAACTCACAGTTTGAACTTATGTTTCATTATGAGTTGATATATAAAATAACCATAAAAATCTTAACTTCATTTCTAGCAAAAGAGCTCTAAATTTTTTCACAGCAAAATTTTAAATTTATGTATGTATTTATTTATTTATTTATCCTCACCCGAGGATATTTTAACATTTATCTTCAGATAGTGCAGGAGGGAGAGAGGGAAGAAGAGAGAGAGAGAAACATCGATGTGAGAGAGACATATTGATTGGTTGCTACCCGCACGACCCCACCTGGGGCCGGGGACAAACCACAACCGAGGCACGTGCCCTCGGCCGGAATCAAACCGGGGACGTTTTGGTCTGAGGGCCAATACTCTAACCTCTGAACCAAACCGGCCAGGGCCACAGCAACTTTTTAAAGCTCTAACCTAAAAGTGTCCACCCATATCTATATAATCATTCACTGATTCAGCAGATATTTTGAGAATCTACATTGTGCCATGTTCTGTGTGCTGGGGTGCACCTGTGAACAAGACAAATGCAATACCTTTTCTTCCTCCACAAACTGGTAGAGGAAGACAGATGATACGTCACCAAGCGGGTCCATATTTAAAAGAGAGGACAATATCAAATAGTTATGAATTCAATGTGATGCCGACCAGGGCGATAGCTACTCTAGGTTGGGTTCTCAGGGATGACGTCTAAGAGCAGGAGGCTGTGAAGCTAAAATCTGAAAGGTCAGCCCAGCAAAGATCAGGGGAAAAGGCTCACCAGGCAGAGTTACCGATAGCACGAAGAGCCTAAGGCAGAACAATCTTGATGAGGCTCAGGGAAGAGCTGGAAGGTAGGCTGGTACCAGAAACTTAGGGCTCTGGAAACAAGGGTCAGGAGTGTGGGTCTACCTGAGTGAACGGAACATGACTGGAAAGTTTGGGGAGGGCAGGGGACACAGGGTTAGGGTGGTATAAAGCAAGAGCTCTGTCCTGGCCATCTGGAACTATTCATCTGGAGATGCGCCATCCACGTGGAATGTACAGTATGTCGTTGGACTTGTGAGAGAGAAGGGAGGTCAGCACAGAAGTGGTAGTGGCATCATGGAACACAGCCTGTCCGTCTCAGCAGTCATGCGCTGACGGGCCAGGGATAGCATGTGGACCGCTGGGGACTAGATGAGGCCATCCTAGAGGCTTCAATCATCTCAAAGCAAATAATACTCTATTTGTCTCTAGGTAAGTCGAACACAAAAATGTATAGCTTTTAGCAGTTTCCTATGAAAGTAAGGTAATGTACTGGGAGCGATGTTCTCAAAAGAGTGAGAAGAGAAAGTGAGACTAATGATAGCGCTTTAATTTCCTTGGAAGAAAATTGCTATAGTAGTGAAGAGGACTTGAATGAAAAGGAAAACAGTTACATTTGGGGAAAAGAGCACTTAAGTGTTTGATGGTGATTTTGAATTCTGTGTTCATGCTGTGAGTCAGGTACTTAGTGTGTCTAATTTGTACAGGGTTTACTTATGCGACACATAGCTGAATGTATAAAGTCGATAATAATCACTTTTGTATTCTCTCCTCCCATGTCACACTTCCCCTGTCCTAGGCTCTGATTACAGAGGAGTAGCCATCACATTCGCCGTGCTGAGCGTCTTAGCTCTCGTGGGCGGGCTGGGCTGGTTCCTCTTCCAGCGGAGCCGTCTGCCCTGGACTGGCTTCTCCTCCGTTCGATATGAGCAAGGGGTCAATGAAGATGAAATTATGCTTCCTTCTTTCCAGGACTAAATGCTTCTAAATGTTTGCTCATTTGCACTAACATATTAAAAAAAAAAAAAATGAGCCATTTAAAATGTTCCCACTGTCAGTATTTACTGTTCCCAAGTACAAGTCTTAAGCACTTTTTCAGTTGTTTAGTTGCTATTCTGGTCTCCACATTTAATTATTCAAAAATGCCTTGTCTATAACTCCACTTTAAAGAATGGAAAGGGACTGAAGCTGAAAATAAAGTCTAAATTGTTTGTAGAGTAATAAAGTTAATGTGCATTTTCTCTGTAAGAATATGGTTGGTACCTAGAATACGTATGTTTTAATGACATTTTAACACAATGTCATATTGGCATATCAATAAGTCACACACCTCCCTTTTAATTTTTATGAACATCTGGCCAAATGCAAAATGAGTACCTCACGGTAAAAACAGAACTGTGAGTAATATCAACGTTGTTTTAAAATGTCATTTGTAATATTTGAGGGAAATTATTAAATGAGAGGCATGCTTTTTTATTGTTGTTGTTAATCCTCACCCAAGGATATTTTTTCCATTAATCTTGAGAGAGAGTGGGAAGGAGGGAGAGAGAAAGAGAAACATCAACGTGAGACAGACACATCAATTGGTTGCCTCCTGCACATGTCCAGACCAGGGCTGAGGATTAAACCTGGGGTACGTGCTACTCCTTAATTGGAAATCGAACCTGCAACCCTTCAGTGAGTGGCTGACATTCTAACCACTGAGCCACACCCACCTGGATGAGGTGTGCTTATATATATATATTTTTTATCCTCACCCGAGGACATTTTCTTTTTTCTATTTTTTGTTCAGATAGAGTGGGAGGGAGAGAGAGAGAGGGAGAAACATCGATGTGAAAGGGACACATCGAGTGGTTGCCACCCACATGACCCAACCAGGACCAAGGACAAACTGCAACCGAGGTCCGTGCCCTTAGCGAACCTGGGTCTCTCTGGACCGCAGGCTGACGCTCTAACCACTTAGCCAAATCGTCCAGCACAAGGTGTATTTTTTACATAGAAAAATGGTACCTTTTGGCAAGAAGCTTATACTATTTCAAATATATTTTATACAAAATTATTTAAATGTAAAAGTTTTGTTCTGTTCATAACTATTCATAAAACAGTGGCTTTTAAAGAAGATTTAGTATTTAGATTTACTATTTTTCTAAAGTGTGAGAACATTGTTACTATGTTGCTTAGATATCCTGTAGCAATGTAGGTTTGCCTTTTCTTATATGCAACATATACTTGTTTCCTTTTAAGAGTCTTTGAAAATTTTACAGTTTATATACTTTACATGGCATGTCAACTTTTGACTAACAAATTTTTATTATTTTGTTGATTTTTTACATGAGCTAAAGAGAAGTGGTCTGTGAAGGAAATTGTGTATCTTGTATTTGTAAAAATGAAAATTATACAGTGAAACCCTAAACTTTGTGATTACTACTAAATATTTAAAATTATGAATGATCAAGGAAACACTATTTTGTGGTTATCACTTTAAATTTAACCACCTAGAAAATATTCTTAATAACAGCTTCCACTGGACCAGATAAATGTTTTATTCAGTGTTTAACTTATATTTGTACTTAAGAATATTTTTGTATAAAATCCATAGATTTATTTTAAAGTTTAGAGTGTTTATACTATGACAAAGTTGTAAATAATTATCTAAGGCAGTTTTAGTATAGTCTAAAACTATAGTATAGTCGTTCTGAAATATTTTTTATTAAATTTATTAGACTCATTCTCTTGTCCTATGATCTGTACAGTTTTAGTCATTAAGACCTTCTTCAAAGAGCTAAACCAATTTGATGTGAAAAATACAGCTATATATAGTAGTGATGCTGCAATAAAATTGTCTTTTTCTTTTAGGTAAAACTGTTGATCCTTGTTTAAAAAAATAAAGATTGGACTTTATTATGTTAAGTACACAGTATGACAGGAAATAAAGTGACCAGCTGTTGTAAAGCAAGTCATCCTTTAGAGTCTGTGTGTGTTTTTTAAACGATAAATACAATCGTTCCTATATTTCTGATCTTGGATTTTAGTCCCTTTTGCAGATTTGTCTGAATCAGCATGTCTTTTCACTATCAGATTAGCAGAATTCTACCTGTGATCCACTTACTTCTCATTCTTGTGTTCCCCTTAGGAGATCCTGTTCACTAACCACCCCCCCCCCACCCGAAGGCATTCATCAACCACTTCTAAGAGCAAAAATCTAGTTCCAAGTTCATATTTCCAAGTCCCTCTCAAGTCTTTCTCAACATGACCAGAACTGCCCATATGGTGTCCCCATCCCATCTCCTCCCATTCAGATGTCTCAGGAGAACTAAAGACAGCTTGCTCCAGCCTTCCCTAACTAACCCAGCCCCCATACGTGGCCTGACAAAATTGATCTCTCAAAGCCAGGCATCTAACATGTAAGCAAACAGACCTAACCATCAGGTGTAGGAGACAAATTCAGAAGTCTTACCAGCGATCAACCTTCTCCCCCCAAACCCCCCACACATAGCATGTTCCCCTCCTGGTCCCAGGGCAAGATACTTGAACTATTTGGTACCTTGGTACATGCCCCTGATGGGAATCGAACTCACGACTCTTTGGTCCACAGGCCAATGCTCCAACCACTGAGCCAAATGGGCCTGGGCTACTTGAACTATTTGGGAACTCTCCCCTGAAAATGATGGCTGTAGTGTTGTAACCCCTAGACCTGACCCTGCCACTGAGTTCATGCTAGGAAAAGTCAGGGATTCAGATCCCTTTATCTTATATCTTAGATTCATTTAATCCTAACACCTTCTTGGAGAAAGAGTTATTAGTTCAACTCTCATTATTAGTAGTACAACTATCTTATCATGCGTAAGAAGAAAAAGTTGAACTAGATCTCAAAGACATTTTTTTCTATGAGACTTCATGATGTGTACAAAGTTATCTCTAATTCGTTGTATATGCTAAACTAAAACATTCTCCCAATATCTGGTTTAACAAATTTACTTTACATATATTTCTTTTTTCCAAGCTAAATTAATCACAAGCAGAATTTTAGAACCTTTTTCTCTCCCCCGAACCAGTATTTCTTCTTATATTCTCTTTCAGTTATACGACGACACCATACCCCTGGTCTCCCAAGCTAGAAACTCAGAGGTCATCCTCAAGTCCTCCTCATTTTCCTAATCCAACATTCTGTCAGTTTTACGGCAGACTTCTCACAGAGTGGCTATCTCCATTACTAATTGTTTTGGTTTAGGCCTGTATCTTTTTTCTCTTCCTGGATTAGTTGCACCAGCTTTGTTACTGGTTTTCCTCATTAACCTTTCCTCTTCATCCATTTTCCGCACCCCGGGTCCCAGGGGAACTAGAATACAGAGAGGAGGACTCACCCTCTGTTTTTGCTCCGAAGTATGTAGGCCTAACTATCTCAAGCCAAAAGGGAGCTGAGCAATGCCCGGCCCAGGGACCTACCCCAGTGACCGCACATGGGCTGATGATCCATCCTGAGAAGTCCTAGGGTTTTGGTTCCTTGGCCAAATATCCTTTTAATACAATATAGAATTAAGTCAATGTTGCTTCAATTGCTGAACAACAGAAAAGAAAAGTCAGGTGAAACGGACTCTAAGAATTAGGAAAACACTGGTGATCTTAGCCAGTGGAGACGCAGCAGAGAGGTGGAGCAAGAATCAGATGGGACTGAGCTAACACTAGAAATTAGGAAATAGGGAACATGGAATTTTGAGGAGTGTGATGGAGATGGGAAGGAGAGGGACTGGACCATCGCTAGAGGGAGAAGGGGGTTGAAGTGTTTTTTCCAAAAGAGGGAAAAGAAATGTGCTGGTTTAGAAGCTGAAAGGGAAAAGCAAAACAAACAAGAACGGTGGACAGAGAGAAGATGCAGGGGAGAGAACAGGAGTCATTCATGCAAGAAGATCTTGGAGAAGATGGGATGAGAGGGGCAGTTCTGAGCCCACAGGAAGAGGACTAGGTTTGGATGGGGTGGGAGGAAGAAAGCCTTCCTCTTCGAGGCCACAAGAGGAAGGCTTGCATGAAGAGTAAGGGGAGGGCAGATAAGCATTTTTAAAAGTTTGTCTACACCTGATGAGAAAGATGAGTAGTAAATGGGGTCTCAGCCTGAAGAGAGTAATAAAAAATTGAAATACCCAATAAGGGGGATGGGAGAGGACAATGACCAAGACAAAATAGGACTGTGGAAAAGACATACAGGGCCCAGATGAAATTAAAAGCCATATATTTGTGGTGACAATTATCGGCAGAATCGATAAATTTCCTCTACCTTTCCTCAGTTAGTTCCGTAAACTTGAGGAAAAGGAGATATGAAGAAGAAGAGACCTCATTCTTAAAAAATTAAAAATAGAACTACCAGATGATCCAGCAATCCTACTTCTGGGTGTATAGCCAAAGGAAATGAAAACAAGATCTTGAAGAGATACCTGCACCCCCCAAGTTCATTGCAGCATTACTTACAATAGCCAAGATATGAAAACAACCCAAGAGTTCATTAATGGACAAATGGATAAAGATGTACATATATACAACTGAATATTATTCAGCCATGAGAAAGTAGGAAACTCTACCATTTGCAACAACACAGATAAAACTTGAGGGTATTACGCTAAGTGAAATAATTCAGACAGAGAAAGACAGATACTGTATGATCTCATGTATATGTGGAATCGAAAAGAACCAAACTCAGAAACAGAGAGCAGAGTAGTGGCTACCAGTGGCTGTAGGGGTGGGAAAATGGAAACATGTTGGACAAAGGATACAAACTTCTGGGGATTTAGCATACAGCCTGGTGATTATAGTTAACAATACTTCACTATGTGCTTGAAAGTTGTTAATAGAGTAAATCTTAAATATTTTCACCACAAAAAAGAAATGGTAACTACGTAACGGGATAGAAGTGTTAGCTAATGGTGGCAATCATTGTATGATATGTAAGTGTATCAAATCAACATGTTGTACACCTTAAACTTACACAATGGTATGTAGATTACATCTCTGTAAAGCTGGAAAAACAACTTTATTTTTAAAAAGAAGAGACCTCCAGTTAAGAGTTGGCGGGTAGATATAACAGAGGAACATGATATCCAGGCTCGGTGGAGAAGGGAGAAATGACAGCCCTGGGAAAATGAAGTTAAGGGAATGGCACCTGGAAGGAGGTCAAAGAGGAGCTAAGCTGGAGTGAAAGGGACAGAAAAGTAAAAGGTATGTGGTGTGGTTGCAAAATAGGACATCAGTGAGAGGTTTTAATAAAAGACCACATTATTCCACGCAGAAGCAGGAAGTTGTCTGTTTTGTCATATTAGCATTAAAAATGAAGTGTGCACCCGAGTTAACAGTGGGGGGAAAATACTTTTTTTAGTTCAAAGTGACTTAGAAATAAAACACTATTGAAATGGGTTACTTGCTTAAAGTAAGTTGATTCATTAGCATGTCAATTCTTTGTAAACCTAACCATTATTTGAAAACTATTTTATATGTTTTTTTGTGTTTTTTTTTATCCTCACCCGAGGACATTTTTCCATTTTTTGTTCAGGTAGAGTGGGAGGGAGAGAGAGGAGGACAGAGAGAGAGAAACATCGACGTGAAAGGAACACATCGAGTGGCTGCCACCCGCACGACTGACCAGAGCCGGGGACAAACTGCAACCGAGGTACGTGCCCTTAGCGGGAACTGAACCCGGGTCTCTCAGGACTGCAGACCGACACTT